TGAGCCCTGTCCTGTCTCCACCCTGCTCTATATGGAGAAGGAGTAAGCGGGGGACAGGAGCAGGGGGGAAGGGGAAACCCTGACATTATCCACCCTCTCCCCCCCCTCCCCCCCCGCACAGCAAGCAGGAGGCTCCCGAGAGCAGCTCCAAGGCAGTGGGCAGGAGCAGCACATGGCAGTGGGGGGAGGGACAGCTGAACTGCTGGCAATTGATAGCCTACTGGCTGGCTGCCGCACAGGGAACTGAGGGGAGCAGGGAGCTGATGGGGGGGGGGGGGGGGGCTGCTGGGCCATCCTGGTTCCAAGCCCCCACCAGCTAGCTGCAACGAGCTGCTCTTCCTGCAAGCAGTGGATAAAGCAAGCGGCTGCCAAACAACATTATAAGGGAGCATTGCTCAACTTTAAATGAGCATGTTCCCTAATTGATCAGCAACGTAACAACGTTAACCGGGACGACTTTAAGTGAAGAGTTACTGTATGCTCCAAATTAAAAAACATAGTAAGAGAACCAAAAAAGTGGCTAACCAAAAAAGTAAAAGAAGCAGTGAGAGGCAAAAAGGCATCCTTTAAAAAGTGGAAGTTAAATCCTATTGAGGAAAATAGCATAAACTCTGGCAAATGAAGTGTAAAAATATAATTAGAAAGGCCAAAAAGGAATTTGAAGAACAGCTAGCCAAAGACTCAAAAAGTAATAGCAAATTTTTTTTTTACGTACATCAGAAGCAAGAAGCCTACTAAACAACCAGTGGGGCCACTGGATGATCGAGATGCTAAAGGAGCACTCAAGGATGATAAGGCCATTGCGGAAAGACTAAATGAATTCTTTGCATCGGTCTTCACAGCTGAGGATATGTGGGAGATTCCCAAACCTGAGCCATTCTTTTTAGGTGACAGATCTGAGGAATTGTCCCAGATTGAGGTGTTGTCAGAGGAGGTTTTGGACCAAATTGATAAATTAAACAGCAATAAGTCACCAGTACCAGATAGTATTCACCCAAGAGTTCTGAAGAAATGCAAATGTGAAATTGCAGAACTACTAACTGTGATTTGTAACCTATCATTTAAATCAGCTTCTTTACCAAATGACTGGAGGATAGCTAATGTGATGATAATTTTTAAAGAAGGCTGTAGAGGTGATTCTGGCAATTACAGGCCAGTAAGCCTGACTTCAGTACTGGGTAAACTGGTTGAAACTATATTAAAGAACAGAATTGTCAGACATACAGATGAACATAATTTGTTGGGGAAGAGTCAACATGGGTTTTGTAAAGGGAAATCATGCCTCACTAATCTACTAGAATTTTTTGAGGGGGGTGAACAAGCATGTGGACAAGGGGAATCCACTGGATATAGTGTACTTAGATTTCCAGAAAGCTTTTGACAGGGTCCCTCACCAAAGGCTCTTAAGCAAAGTAAGCTGTCATGGGATAAGAAGGAAAGTCCTCTCATGGATCAGTGACTGGTTAAAAGATAGGAAACAAAGGGTAGGAATAAATGGTTAGTTTTCAGAATGGAGAGAGGTAAATAGTGGTGTCCCCCAGGGTTCTGTACTGGGGTCAGTACTGTTCAACATATTCATAAATGATCTAGAAAAAGGGGTAAATAGCGAGGTGGCAAAAATTGCAGATGATACAAAACTATTCAAGATAGTTAAGTCCAAAGCAGACTGCGAAGAGCTACAGAAGGATCTCACAAAACTGGGTGACTGAATTTCATCTGCCATTTTGTTGCCCAATGTTGATAAATGCAAAGTAATGCACATTGAAAAACATAATCCCAACTATACATATAAAATGATGGGGTCTAAATTAGCTGTTACCACTCAAGAAAGAGATCTTGTGGTCAATTGAGGATAGTTCTCTGAAAACATCCACTCAATGTGCAGCAGCAGTCAAAAAAGCGAACAGAATGTTGGGCATCATTAAGAAAGGGATAGATAATAAGACAGAAAATATTATAATGCCTTTATATAAATCCATGGTACGCCCACATCTTGAATACTGCATACAGATTTGGTCACCCCATCTCAAAAAAGATATATTTGAATTGGAAAAGGTTCAGAAAAAGCAACAAAAATGATTAGGGGAATGGAATGACTTCCATATGAGGAGAGATGAATAGGACTGGGACTTTTCAGCTTGGAAAAGAGATGATTATGGGGGGATATGATAGAGGTCTATAAAATCATGACTGGTGTGGAGAAAGTAGATAAGGAAGTGTGTTGTTTACTCCTCATTCCCAAGGGCTAGGGATCACCAAATGAAATTAATAGGCAGCAGGTTTAAAGCAAACAAAGTATTTCTTCACACAACATACAGTCAACCAGTGGAACTCCTTGCCAGAGGATGTTGTGAAGACCGAAACTACAACAGGGTTCAAAAAAGAACTAGACAAATTCATGGAGGATAGATCCATCAATGGCTATTAGCCAGGATGGTCAGGGATGGTGACCCCAGCCTCTGTTTGCCAGAAGCTGGGAATGAATGACATGGGATTGATCACTTGATAATTACCTGTTCTGTTCATTCCTTCTGAAGTACCTGACATTGGCCACTGTCAGAAGTCCTTTGGTCTGACCCAGTATGGCTGTTCTTACGTTTTTATCCACATTTTTTTTGTACTATCATCGGTGAGTGCACCCAACCATAGGCACTGGCTTCCTCCTGGCCCGGGGGTACTCAAGCCTCAGCTCTGCCCCAGGCCCTGCCCCCACTCTATCCTTTCCCCCAAGTCCCCGCTTCTCCAATTCCTGCCCAGTTCTGCCCCCTCCCCTTAGCATGCCCCATCCCCTACTCTTCCCCCTCCCTCCCTCCAGCGCCTCCTGTATTCTCCAAAACAACTGACAGGGCAGAGGTGCTTGGAGGAAGGGGGGGGAGTTGATTGTTGGAGCCACAGGTGAATGGGAGGAGCTGGCTGCCAGTGAGTGCTAAGCACCCACTAATTTTTTTCCGCAGGTGCTCCAGCCCTGGAGCGCCCACGGACTCGGCGCCTATGCACCAAACCTGTAGGTTTCTCAACTCTTTCTATTACTTCTATTGCAGTTCTTGCTGGTGTCTGCCTCTCAGGGCCACAAGTACCTTCCTGGATGCATATAAACAAGGGTTTGCATCCTTCTTCAAAATTATTTTGTGCATGACTGGCAGTTTTCCCAAACCTTTGAACACCTCTGTGTATTTCTCTACTAAGGTTTAGATGTCTTGCAGCAAGTTGTATTCTATATTAAATAGCTTGCATATGAGTCCCAATTGTTGACTTGATTACAGGCCCAGTATTGGTTTTCTATCTCCTATAATAATAATAATTAATTAATAAAGGTATTCTTAGTCTTTTCTTTCTTGTGTGTCAGATTGCGCTGGCATCTGCCCACCACAGAAATAGGGGGAGTGCATTGTAAGCTGTCAGGACATTTGCCTGTTTCTCCTGTGGGGGGCTTATATTTTAAAGTTAGCAGCACTAGTGTGGCAATTACATTGGTGTCAGCACCTGAATCTACTGTATGTGTGATTTGTGAACCACTAGTATTAAGAGTGACGAACTTGTTATTGTGTACTGGCAGCCATTGCTGCATGGCATCAGCATACACTGCTTCCTCAGTGGAGCTATCGCCATATTCCTGCATTGCATCAGTTTTCTGATGTCTCGATTGGTTAGCAAAATAGTTGTACTTGTGACACACTGCACTTTTGTCCAAATGCTGAGCACTGTCTGTATGTATGTTTCCATGAACTTCCCACACATTTGTTTGGTCTAGCCCTTCCATAGAATGTTTTTTTTTCACCCTTCCTTATATTGATTGTTGTCAGTGTGTCGCTTTTTTGTGCATGTTTCCTTTCTGTCCTGCTGTGCAATGACCTTCTGCACAGTGTCCCTGTTATCCGCTTTGATTAATGTTTGCATTTGCAGTTTGCGTGTTCTGCTGCTTTGCAAATGTTTGTGGCTTTTTCCAAAGTTAAGTCTGTAAATAGATGCTCCGATAGGCTGGTGGCAGGTTTAACAATGCAAAGCTATCTAATCAAGGAATCTCCATAAGGCCTAAAGTTGCAGCACTGGCTTTTACTCTTCAAGTCTGTGTTGTAATCCTCAGTTCCTTTTTTACTCTTATGTGGAAAAGAAGCTTTCGTAAGTTTCATGCTTTGTAGGAAAGCACTGCTAGGATTTTCTCAAAATCTTCACTGTCCTCAGGGGAGAGCTGGAAGCTGTTAAAAAGGTGTACAGCTTCCTGACCACCTATGGTTAGCAGTAAGGTACTTTCTAGTCTCCACTCCACTCAATTTATTGCCATCATGTATCACAAATCATCACCGCCACCACTGTTTAAACTTCTTCCAGGACTCATCCATGCATAGGTGCTGGCTTCCTCCGGACCCCGGGGGGTGCTCAACCCCCTGCTCAGCCCCAGGTCCCGCCCCTTTCCCCCACCACTATCCCGTCTCTTCTTGTCCCCACTCTGCCGCAGGCCCTGCCCCACCCCACCCCTTCTCCCAAGTCCCCACCCATGCCCTGCCCCCTCCCCTGAGTGTGCCCCGTCCCTGTTCCTCCCTGAGCCTCCTGCACGCCACAAAACAGCTGATCACAGCATGCAGGAGGCACTGGGAGGGAGGGGGAGGCGTTGATCCGGCTGCTGGCAGGCGGGAGGAGGGAAGCTGGCTGCCAGTGGATGCTAAGCACCCACTAATTTTTTTTCCATGGGTGCTCCAGCCCTTGAACCACTGTTCTAAGAACTTGGATTCGCACATGCAGTCCCCTCTAGGAACTGCAGTTGCTAAGGCAACTGCTTTTTCTTTAGCTGGCTGTGCAATGCATCTTACTGTATAGGTGTTTTAAAGCAGTTTTTATCATTTATTCATAGAATTATTTATTACTAAGTCCCAAATGGATGCATAATGTTTCATATGAATTCGAGGTCCTTGCTCCAAGGTTTGTACGAATTCTGAAAATGTTGTCAAATATATAATTTTTTTTTTAATACAAACAGTTTACTATTGTAACTTTTCCCCCAGGACAATAAAACTGAACAAGACATTGATGAAGCTTTGTGGATAACTGCTTTTAATCTTGAGCGTTTAAAAACTGCAGAGAAGGTAGGGTAAAGAGAAACTTCGATTCAATTTGAAATATTTCAGATTTCATTTACTTAACATCAAAGTTCCGTATTCCTGTAGGTTATATTGGAATTGTTTATCTTATCACAAAAACATTCTGTATCTGCTCTTGTCATTATCTTGGTCTGTGACCTTCTTCTTTGAGTGCTTGCTCATATTGATTCCAATTAGGTGTGCGCGCGCTGTGTGCACGATCGTCAGAGAATTTTCTACCCTTGCAACACCCGGTGGGTCGGCTGTGGAGCCCCCTGGAGTGGCGCCCATGACGGTCGTTGGAACTGTGGAGTGCGGCATAGCTGTTCTCCACTCTCCCTAGCTTTACTCGTTAGTTCTTGTATATAGTAGTTTTGTTGTTAATAGTTTTATAGAGTAGTTATAAATAGTTAGCGGGGGTAAAGGGGGCTTTTATCCCCCCCTTTATTCCCCCGGCGCGCAGCCGGGCTCATGCCCAAGGCTCCTGGCTTTAAGCCGTGCGCGACCTGTGCTAAGCCTATGCGAACGGGAGACCCTCCCGACTCTTGTCTGAAGTGTCTAGGGGAGTCTCACCAGACGGATAAGTGTAAGATCTGCAAGGCTTTCAGGCCCAGGACCAAAAAGGAGCGGGACTTTAGACTTAAGCAGCTCCTTATGGAAGCGGCACTTAGCCCAGATCCTCCTTCGGCGCGCCAAGTTCCGGCACTGAGCGCCTCGGTGCGCAGCGCCCCGGTGGCGCCCTCGGGTACTGCACCACGAGGAGATGCGGATAAGGCCCCACGGCACCGTCCTCCGTCGGCACCGCGTTCGCCGCAAGCCCCTCGGCGCCGTTCCCCATCTCCGGGACATAAAAGACCCTGTAAGAACCAGGACACTGCCGTACAACAGGCACCGGCTCCCCCCGAACCGGTGGTGGAGTCGCGTCCGGCTTCTGAGCGCCAGAGGGTGCAGGCATCGTCGACACCGTTGACGGTTGTAGGGCCGTTGAGTCCGGTGCGGACTGGCTCCTCGCCTCGTCCTGTGGTTGAGCCCTGTCTCCCCTCTATGCTGGAGACATTTGCGACGGCGAAGGACCTCATCGCAGTCACGGAGCCGGCGCCATCTCATACTGCAGACTGCGGCACCGCATGTGCTCCGCACGGTGCAATCCAGGGGCAAGCCTGCCCTGATACGCCCTCCATCTCCGAGCGTGGACTTGTGGCGCCGCTCCCGGTCTCGGAGCAGGTCCCGACGCCGCTCGCAGTCCCGGCACCAGTCTTCATCTCGGCGCCGGTCGTACTCGCGGCCCAGATCTTCCTCCCGGCACTGGTCCACTTCTCGGCACTGACCCGAGCATCGGTACCGGTCAGAGTCCAGACGGTCTTCGTCTTCGCGATCCAGATCGGGATCCTGGTACCGGCATGGCCATCGGCACCGTTCTCGATCCCGGTTCCGCTCCCTGGCACCGCGCAGAGACCGCTCGCCTGTGGACCGGCACCGCTCGGCACCATTCCAGGACGAGCCTCTGCAATCATGCTTGGTACTGCCCTGGCTCGCAAGATCGGCATCTCGTTCGCCGGAAGGGGCCTCCCGATCAGCATACCCTGCTCAGGGTCAGGCTGTGGACAACTTGGGCCATTGGCAGGAGGGGGCAGAGGACCCTAGACAGGACCCTGCACATTGGTCTTTCTGGACCCTATGGGCATATCACCAGGCACAAGGGGCTCCACCAGCGGCCTCTCGCTCAGCACACTCTGAGCCCAGGGTACCTGAGGTCACCATCACCCGTCCTCCCCCAGGGGGCATGGAGGCTCCTGTGCCAACACCCACGCAGGTCACAGACCCCAGTGCAGGGGATCCTGCACATCAGGGACCCTTGGAGCCGGACCCACCTCTGGATCCTTTACCCCCTGAGGCGTCGTCCTCATCTTCCACAGATGAGGCGGTGGCTGGCACAACAACCTCAGGCCCACCTCCAATAGACCTCCGTGCCCACCAAGACCTGCTACGTAGGGTGGCATGGAACATGGACCTACAGGCAGAGGAGGAGGTGGAGGACCTGGTGGTGAGCATCCTCTCAGCTGATGCCCCATCCCGGGTGGCGTTGCCCATTATTCGCACGATCCAGGCTAACGTTAATGCCATATGGCAAACCCCGGCCTCCATCCCTCCCACTGCCAGAGGTGTAGAGAGGAAGTACTTTGTCCCCTCTAAAGACCATGAGTACCTCTACACACATCCTCCGCCGTGTTCACTGGTAGTCTCCTCAGTGAACGCAAGAGAGCGCCATGGTCAGCAAGCGGCAGCACCCAAATCGAAGGACGCCAAATGCTTCGATTTGTTTGGACGTAAGGTTTACTCAGCGAGGGGGTCTGCAGCTCAGAGCCGCAAACCAACAGGTGCTCTTGAGTCGGTACAATTACAACTCATGGAATTCCATGGGTAAATTTAAAGAGTTGGTCCCCCAGGACTCGAGAGAGGAGTTTGGGGCCCTAGTGGAGGAAGGTAAAAAGGTGGCTAGGACCTCCTTACAGGCCTCCCTGGACATAGCGGACTCTGCCGCCAGGACACTAGCGTCTGGGATAGCCATGAGACGCGTCTCCTGGCTTCAGGTATCGTGGTTTCCGCCAGAACTGCAGCAGACCCTGCAAGATCTGCCATTCGAGGGCCAAGGGTTGTTCTCGGACAAGACGGACTCTCGGTTGCAGAGTCTCAAGGACTCCAGAACCATCATGCGCTCCCTGGGGATGCATGTCCCAGGACCCCAGCGCAGGCCCTTTAGGTCCCAGCCACAGAGGTTCTACCCTCCTGCTCTCGTCCAAGACAGGACTTCCCCAGAAGGTGGGGGCGAGGTGGTAGAAGGAGGTCGACTGGCCCCCAATCCGGTCAGAACCAAGGCCCTCCTAGACCACCTTCAGGGCCTAGGCAAAATTTTTGAAGGTGCACTCGAGGACAGCGTACTAGCCACTACCCAGGATCCATTCCCTTTATTTCGGGATCGCCTCTCCCGTTTCCACCGTGCTTGGTCCCTTATAACCTCGGACCGTTGGGTCCTTCGCACGGTGGAGAGGGGATACGCTCTCCAGTTTTCTTCGTTCTCCCCCTCCCACCCCCCCTCCCCGTCCCTCTTCAGGGACCCTTCTCACGAGCATCTCCTTACACAGGAGGTTTTTGGGCTCCTTTCTATGGGGGCCATAGAGGAGGTTCCATCAGAGTTAAGGGGCAGGGGGTTTTACTCCCGCTACTTCCTGATCCCCAAGGCAAAAGGGGGTCTGCGACCCATTTTAGACTTACGCGGACTCAACAAATTCATAGTAAAGTTGAAGTTCCGCATGGTCTCCTTGGGGACCATCATCCCTTCCCTGGATCCTGGAGACTGGTACGCCGCCCTCGACATGAAGGACGCATATTTTCATATAGCAATCTACCCTCCACACAGGCGCTTCCTTCGATTTGTAGTAAACAACATGCACTACCAATTTGCCATCCTTCCCTTCAGCTTGTCCACGTCTCCGAGAGTGTTCACCAAATGTCTGGCTGTCGTGGCAGCATACCTTCGTCGACAAAGGATACAGGTGTTCCCGTATCTAGACTGGCTGGTGCGCGGCCACACCAGGGAGCAAGTTCAAGCCCACGTCCAGATAACACTACAAACATTCCACGAGTTAGGCATCTTACTCAACAAAGAAAAGTCCACTCTGGAGCCAACCCAGAGAATAGAGTTTATCGGGGCAATCTTAGACTCCAGACTCGCCCGAGCTCTTCTGCCAGACACTCGGTTTCACACCATCACAAACATCATCCACGGACTCCAGGTCTTCCCGATTACCACGATAAGGACGTGCCTCGGCCTGTAGGGACACATGGCCTCTTGCACTTACGTAACCAGTCATGCCAGACTTCGGCTTCGCCCACTTCAGGCCTGGGTGTCATCGGTGTACCGTCCTTATCGGGACAACCTGAACATGGTGGTCACGGTTCCGAACTCGGTCTTGACCTCTCTCACCTGGTGGCTGGACCACAAGGCGGTTTGCGCAGGAGTGACGTTTCACGCCCCACAACCCTCCCTGTACCTTCATCTCTAGGTTGGGGCGCTCACCTTGGAGAGCACCATACACGGGACCTGTGGACTGCATCCCAACTAGCTCTGCACATCAATGTTAGAGAGGTGATGGTGGTGCGCCTAGCCTGTCAGGCATTTCTCGGTCTCCTACATGGCCGTTGCGTGTCAGTCCTCACAGACAACACCACGGCCATGTTCTCCATCAACAAGCAAGGAGGAGCCTGGTCGTCCCTCCTATGCCAAGAGGCCATTCGCCTGTGGGAGTTCTGCATTGCCCACTCGATACATCTCATGGCATCGTTCCTCCCTGGAGTCCAGAACGCTCTAGCGGACCGTCCCAGCAGTTCCTTCCAGACGCACGAGTGGTCGATTCGCCCAGATATCATCCATTCCATCTTCCAGAGGTGGGGATTTCCCCAGGTCGACCTGTTTGCCTCACGCGCCAACAGGAAGTGCCACGTGTTCTGCTCCCTCCAAGGGCGATCTCCGGGCTCCCTGTCGGATGCTTTCCTGCTATCGTGGAAAGACCAGCTGTTCTACGCTTTCCCTCCATTTCCACTGGTCCACAGGGTACTGCTCAAGCTATGCAGAGACAAGGCACGTATGATTCTAGTCGCTCCAGTTTGGCCAAGACAGCACTGGTACACCACGCTTCTGGAGCTATCGGTACACACTCCGATCACGCTTCTATTGTGCCAGAACTTGATCTCTCAGGACCACGGCAGACTCTGTCACCCCGACCTACAATCGCTCCATCTTACAGCGTGGATGCTCCATGGGTGAATCGGACAGAGCTACGATGCTCACATCCCATGCAACAGATTCTGCTGGGAAGTAGGAAACCCTCTACACGGACCACTTACTTGGCCAAGTGGAAGCGTTTCTCCTGTTGGTGCGAGCAGCGGGCCACGCCCCCCTTGCAGGCGTCAATTCCGCTTATACTTGAATATCTCCTATCCCTAAAACAGGGCTTGGCGATATCTTCGGTCAGGGTTCACCTGGCTGCTATATCGGCGTTCCACCCAGGAGAACACGCTTCCTCGGTCTTCTCTAACCCGATGGTCGTCAGATTGCTCAAGGGCTTAGACCGTCTATACCCACAGCAACGTCAACCGGTTCCGGTGTGGGATCTTAACCTGGTTCTCTCCAAGCTCACGGGGCCCCCGTTCGAGCCATTGGCTACCTGCTCACTCCTTTACCTATCTTGGAAGACAGCCTTCCCTGTAGCCACCACTTCAGCAAGGTGTGTTTCTGAAATCAGAGCGCTCACGTCTGAGCCTCCATACACAGTCTTCCATAAAGACAAGGTGCAACTTCGCCCCCACCCTGCCTTTCTTCCCAAGGTGGTATCAGCTTTTCATGTGACCCAGGATATATTTCTCTCGGTCTTCCATCCTAAGCCGCACGCCACGCGTCAAGACCAGTGTATGCACTCCTTGGACGTACGCAGGCCCCTTGCTTTCTATATTGAGCGTATGAAGCCGTTTAGGAAGACAACGCAACTCTTCGTTGCAGTGGCCGACCGGATTAAAGGCTTACCGGTCTCCTCGCAACCTCTCTCCTCTTGGATTACGTCCTGCATTCGTGCTTGCTACGACCTGGCTGGTGCCCCAACGCCGCGCCTCACCGCCCACTCCACGAGGGCCCAAGCCTCCTCAACTGCCTTCCTGGCTCACGTCCCGATCCAGGACATTTGTAGAGCGGCGGTTTGGTCATCGGTCCACACCTTCGCCGCTCACTATGCGCTTGTACAGCAGTCCAGAGACAATGTTGCATTTGGATCAGCGGTTCTGCACTCAGCAATGTCTCACTCCGACCCCACCGCCTAGGTAAGGCTTGGTAGTCACCTAATTGGAATCGATATGAGCAAGCACTCGAAGAAGAAAAAATGGTTACTCACCTTTGTAACTGTTGTTCTTCGAGATGTGTGGCTCATATCCATTCCAAACCCGCCCCCCTTCCCCACTGTCGGAGTAGCCGGCAAGAAGGAACTGAGGGGGCGCTGGGTCGGCTGGGGTATATTTCCAGCGCCATGAAGGCGCCACTCCAGGGGGCTCCACAGCCGACCCACCGGGTGTTGCTAGGGTAGAAAATTCTCCGACGATCGTGCATGCAGCGCGCGCGCACCTAATTGGAATGGATATGAGCAACACATCTCGAAGAACAACAGTTACAAAGGTAACTGTTTTTTTTGGTGCCTCTCCTACCCTCTTTGGCTGTTCTTGCACAATTTCTGTGGAGTTGGATTCTCATTAAGGCCCTGATTCAGTAAAGCACTTAAGCTTATGCTTATTCTAAACCTATGAATAGTCCCATTGAACTGTGCATTTGCTTAACAGTACCTGTTTATATGTTTTATTGGATTGGGGTAATATCTACCATTCTCTGTCAGATTAGCAACTCTGTGGTTAATTTCCTTGTTTTTTTGTGTGCTTCCTTCTGAACTTAAGATGGGTATGTACTACTCTTCATAGGCAGTTGAGGCAGTATTTCCCTAAATAAAATAGATCAAATTTTGATTTACATAAATCAAAATGTGCATGTTCAGAATACAGAAAAGAAAATGTGGAAGGGGAGATGTTAGGGGGCTTATTCCTTCACTCTCTCACTTCCCTGGTCCTTCTCGCATGAACAGAGAGCAACAATACCCAAAGTCCGAAGGTGCAAACAGTTCAATGTTTATTGGGGTGAACTTCCAGCAAGCATGATTTCAGTTTCCTTCCTCAGTGTCCCCTTTCCCAGCTCTGACACCACAGAGCCTTGCCTGTGTCCCTGTTCCCATTTTCCCCCTTAGCGAAACATGATTCCAATTCTCCCACCCCCATTCCCTGTTCCCATTCCCCCCTTACTTCCTGATTAACTGCAGACTATATAGTAAAACTTGAGTTCTGCTTAGCTATACCTTAACTAGTCATTTTAATGAAATTTAACTAACCAATTCTAACACATTGTAACATAATTATTTAACCAATTATATCCCACCACCTTAATTGGTTTACACCCAACAAAATTAATTATACAGCAGACAGAAACAATCACAGAACCAGACAGAGATTATACAGACAGACAATAGGGAAGTGGAGACTACAGTGATAGAAAAATACAGAAATGAGGATTTCACATCCCAGCTATTGATAAATGAGTTCTTGTCAGACAGGATGCTATCAAACTAAGTTTCCTTTTACATCTTCTAGGCTCTTCCCTTTCTCTGGAGGTGATAGGAATACAATCCTGTCCTGATATTCCTAACAGCCCAATAGCACCTTATTTCAATGTGACTAGTTTGGAATGTAAGGATGTGACCATACACTTCCCAGTTTATGGCTGCCTCTGCTACTTAGCCGAAGGCCGTAGCTTAAGAACAGGGCCCCAGACTGTCACAGTAAGAGAAGGCCCTTACACAGACAGGCAGTAATTTTGATTCTTTCTTTTATACCTCTATAACTAGCTTAGTGATAAGAATACACCTAAATTCTTAAAGTATAGGCCTTTGCAGACAGGCCAGAATATCTATATCCTAACAGGAGACTTTAAAATACTTGGTAGCTGACTATACATTTATGGCAAGATTATGGAAAATATCCTATAGATATAATATAATGAAGTCCTTTTCCCCAGAATTTAACTTATTTAACAGATCATGCTTTTGGATTAGTTGCAGAAAAAGTTTAAATTTCTGCAATTCTTTGTTTGTTAGCCATGCATAAATGTGGCTTAGGCCAAGTCTGCACTTAAAGCTTGACATAGGTTTGGTGCTGAATTAGGCTGAATTGTACTAAGTAACTTCTAATTCCAAATAAACATCTGTTCCTATCCGATAGTAAAGCCTTGACAGCAAGTATAGGTTAATAAGGTAGTATGAGCTCTTGTGTTTCTATCATGCCTAGCACAACGGGATCCTGGTCCCTGACTAGGACTCCTAGGTGCTATGGTACTATAAATAATTAAAATGTTTCTTAAAGTAAGCCTGAGGAAGTGGGGAGAATTTGAAGAGACATGTCACTCTCTGATTGATTAGGCCTGAAGCTGCTGGTTGAATAGGGCAGACAGTTAACATCCAGGGGACTTAAGTATAAATTATTGTGTCAACTTGAGAAGAGCAAAGAATGACTGAATAGCAAATAGTGGAGTTCACACTTCATTGCTCTTAGAATCATAGAATATTAGGGTTGGAAGAGACCTCAGGAGGTCATCTAGTCCAATCCCCTGCTCAGAGCAGGACCAAAACCAACTAAATCAGTGGTAGGATTCAGACTGTTTGCTCATCTGAATCCTACTACTCCCCCACCCATGGAAGGAGGACAGGGTACTAAAAGGTAAGGACATCATCCCCATCCCACCACAAGCACAAGGCCCAGCAAAATCCCAGGCCTTGTGGGAACCATTCTTTTTAATTGCATTAGAATCCAGCCACAAGTTGTGACAAAATTAACATTCCATTGTCAAGCCCGGCCTTAAAAATCTCTAAGGATGGAGATTCCACCACCTCCTTAGGTAACCCATTCCAGTGCTTCACCACCCTCCTCATGAAATAGTTTCCTAATATCCAACCTAGACCTCCCCCCCCCGCAACCTGAGACCATTGTTTCTTGTTCTGTCATTTGCCACCACCGAGAACAGCCTAGCTCCATCCTCTTTGGAACCCCCCTTCAGGTAGTTGAAGGCTGCTAGCAAATCTCCTCTCATTCTTCTCTTCTGCAGCCTAAATAACTCCAGTTCCCTCAGCCTCTCCTCGTAAGTCATGTGCCGCAGTCCCCAGATCATTTTCATTGCCCTCCACTGGACTCTCTTCAATCTGTCCACATCCCTTCTGTAGTGGGGGGACCAAAACTGGACACAATACTCCAGGTGTGGCCTCACCAGTGCCGAATAGAGGGGAATAATCACTTCCCTCGATCTGCTGGCAATGCTCCTACTAATACAGCCCAATATGCCATTGGCCTTCTTGGCAACAAGGGCACACTGCTGACTCATATCCAGCTTCTCGTCCACTGTAATCCCCAGGTCCTGTTCTAGACTCTTTGCAAGCTACGTTTGGTTTATGGTATTGAGGTTTTTTTTGCAGCCATAACAGCTAGAAATTTACTTTATTTTTTAAAAAACTGAGATTCTGGAGAACAAAATAGTAGCTTCAAAGAGGTGATTGTATAGCATATGGGTGCATACCAGCTATTTCCAAACATTGTTCCCTACATTGGTGTGCCTCTTTTCCTCATCTCTTCCTTCCTATGGGCATGTCAACAACACAAAAATTGTACCTCTTTTTAATTATACCAATTATAGTTAAAGCAGTACAATCCCCCTACTGTAGGTGCAGTTACATCAGTATAGGTGCTTTATACAGGTATTAAGGTATTTTATACTGCTATAGCTGCATCCACATTACGGGGGTTGTATTTGTGTGCCTATTTTGGGGGGGAAAGATTATACTCCTAACTGAAATATTGTACCAGTACAGAAACTGTGTATAGATCAGGTCTAAAGCTTTAGTTCTTCTAGATTTGTTTATCCTGCAATGTTCTTTGTTGTCACTCTGACTCTGAAATGTGTTTGTGTGATTCTCATTGTTGCCTCTGACATTTATAAATGACTGTGGCTTCTTATTTTGCATAAATAGGATGAATGATTAGGCATTGATTTAGTTATCTTTTAAAAATGAAATAGATGCTGGGATATTTGGAATCCAAAGTGAAGCAGGAAGAAGACAGGATTGTAGACATTATAGATAAAAAGTTTGATAATCTTATTACTTCTCTTCAGTCAAGGTAATGTGACTATTTTTATGTCATGGACAAGACAAACTTGTATTACATTTAAAAAAAAATAAGTTAGTTAACTGGAAATATTGGTGTCGTTAATGTAGTTTTAGTACTTCCTATGACAATATTTCATAATATCTTTATTAATCTGTCCAACCATGAACAACATTTACTCCTGAGGGAATTCTGCACCAAAAAAATTAAATTCTGCGCACAATATTTTAAAATTCTGCAACGTTCTGCAAATTTGTCAATTAATAAACGTGGCTCCAGCATGGCAATGGGGAACACAGGCCACTGGCTGCATTGAGGTGGGAGATCTTCCTAAAGCCCCCACCTCCACCGGTACAAGGACTTGGCAGTGAGGCTGCACCTGACCCTGACATGGTGCAAGGGCCAGGCCTGCCCTAGAAACACCCAGGGTCCTGCTTCTCTGTGCGAGGCGCACCATGGTGTGTGGGTGGGCAGGCTCAGCCCAGCAGCATACAAGTATGGAGGGTCTTAGTGTGGTGGGGGATCCAGGTGTGGGGTGAGAGGTTTCTCTGTGGGGCAATCTGGGTGTGGGTGGCTCAGTGTGAGATCTGGATGCACGGGCTCGTTGTGGGGTTCCGGGTGCAGGGACAATGGAACTCTGCAGGGGATCCAGGTGAAGATGATTGGGGCTCAGCGGAGGGGCCTGGGGGGGTTCAGTGAGGGGTCCGGGTGCTGAGGGAGTGGGACTTAATAGGGTGGGGGTCCAGGTGCAGCTGGTTGGGGCTCAGTTGGGTGGGGGTCAGGGTGTGGGGGACTCATCTGGGGGGGGGGGGCCAGGGGTAGAGGGGTAGGGCTTGTCAGGGTGAGGATTCGATGGTCCTGCTTAACAGCGGAGCCCCAGCTGGTGCCGAGGGGATGCCACATGCCCTGAGTAATTTTGTTTTTCATATGGTCTCTTACATTGGAACTTTCCTGTTCTTGCTAGAGAACTCTTTGGAAGAGTAGAATGGGACATGTTATCTTAAGAGTGAAACTTAAGTGGCAACTTTCTTAGTCCTCAGTTGAAGTGTGTGGAAATATCCAAGGGCTGGAATGGAGATACTTCTAAGCATGCGCTCAAGGATAGCAAAGAGAATTAAAAAGCTTACTTCCAGTAACAAAAGTAGTTCTTTGAATAGTATCCCTATGGGTGCTCTACTCTAGGTGTATTCGTGTCTCTATGCCTCAGATCAGAGATTTTAGGTAGCGGTGTCCATTTGGTCCGCACATGGGTAGCTTATAGGCACCAATTCTCAAGCTCCCCTAGTGTCGCCCATCGGAATAGGGGGAGGCAATCTCCTTCAGCTTCTCTAGCCAGACATTCTTATCCACAAGATATGTTTGAGGAACAGGAAGCGAGACTAGACAAGAGAGTTTTCACAAGACTAGACAAACATTATTCCAACAACCAACTTCTCTTCATTCTCTCCTAATTAAGCAGTCATGTCTCCTCCACCAACCCTGGCAGACAACTTCAGTTTCAAGATCTCATTAAGAGAATAGCAGATTTGTTACGAATTCCACTTGAAGAAGCAAAGGAGTCGCAACACAAGCTGCTTGACATCCTACATCTGCTTGCAACACGTTCTCTATCAATGAGGCCTTGCTGGACCGAGCAGAAACAATATGGCTGAAACTGATTTTTATCCACCCTGACCGCCAATGATTTTTTTGATAAAATGCTTTTTGAGGAAAAACCTATTTAAAGATACATTATAGCTCAAAGATATCTCATCATGGAATAGGGATTATAAATTCTAATTCTATAGTATGAGACAATATAGTCATGTAATATTTAAGAAGAGTTTTGTAAATGAGTTCCAATAGTTCATGGATTAGGGACCCAATCTTACACGGTTCCAGGGGCTTCTGTACAGATTGTTTAGGTTAATCATTCAGTCTAGCCAGTGGGACTCAGTGCTCAGTCTAGAAGATACCTTCAAAGATGCTTAGTTTTGCAGTTCTCAAACTGTGGATTTTGCTGTTAACATACTTGTTAACAGCAAAAATGTTTTTAAATAAATAATATATAGAAGGTGAGAAATAACAGACTTCAACCCTATTCTCCCTCTGCAAATTTGTGTACACAGAGTCAATCCCTTATTTCTCTCTAAAAGTGCAAAGTTTCAGAAAGTTCAATGAATAGAAGATTGTTGGGGACGGAATAGATCTGGAAAAGGAGGAGAAGTCTGTAGATAAATGAGAGAAGGGAGGGACAGGCAGTAGAAACAAAAGTGAAACTGTTTGAGCAACATTTTCCAGAAGTCTTGAGGTCTTTCTGAGAGTAGCCTTCATTGATTTTGAGATCTATCATACCATTCTTTCACTAGAAGGGAAAACCTATAATGGCAGCAGACGGTAAAAGAGACCCAGTTTGGCAATAATATCCTCTTACCTGTAGGTAAGACAGGCACTGCGTGCAAAATGCAAACAGTGCAACAAAGAAATGCAAGGCCTGGTTGCCCAAATGAAACAACATCACGAGAAGTGTTCCTTCTCTGGAGGGAGCTGCGCTGAAGATGACGAAAGGAACATGTCTGAACATGCAGGATCTTCAGGTTGGTAAACTTTTTTTATTTCCTACTTCTTTCTTAAGGACTGCCTGTCTTCCTTCTGGACTATTCTTGGATTCTCATGTTTGAGCAAAAAAGATAGTTGTTACTCTATGGTACTATCATTTTAGATGCAGTTGTGATAAAACATAAATATCTGAAATAGGCAGATCTTCCTTTTACAATTTCACCTTTAAAGTAGTACTGACTGTTAGTGAATGCAATGAGTAATACTAAATGAGCAGTATGGTAATAATAATTAAATAACTGCATTGACTTATTTTGTTTAGGAGAATCCATCCTCAACATACAGGATTCTGAAGACTATCCACCTTCAAGATCACCATCATTTTCTATAGTTTATCTGCCAACGATAGTGTTTCTGTCACATAGCCACAGTATATCACCTGTAGTAAAAAGGGGGGAAAAAAATCTCCATCATCCAGAAACAACCGTAGATAAGTTTGTGATAAGAACCAACAGATTACAAAAAGAGGTAATTGATGGAAAAATTACCTGGTTTGTTTATGCAACAAAGTCTCCTTTCCGCATGATTGTGAATCCACACTTCATTAACATGGCTCAATCATTAAGACCAGGATACAGTCCATCCAACAGAGCTGTGTCACAGGCAAATTGCTGGATAAAGTATATGAGAGAGAAATTGAGCAGTGTGCAAAAGGTCTACAGGGTGACATTGTTAACCTGAGTCTTGATGGGTGGAGCAATGTCCACAATTATCCTGTTGTATGTGCTTGTGTGACAACAGAAGAAGGGAATGTCTTCCTTACAGAAATAATTGATACATCAGGAAATGCACACACAGCAGAATACTTACAAGAAGTAGCAGTAAAAGCTATAACAAATTGCGAAAAAATATCAAATGTCTAGTATGCTGTTTGGTCACAGACAATGCTGCAAATATATCCAAGATGAGAAGAAATGTAGAAGAGAGTGAAGAGAGTCCCAAGCTAATAACATATGGTTGCAGTGCTCATTTGATGCACCTCCTAGCCAAAGACTTCAGTGTTCCAGAAATAAAGGCTAATGTTGTTGAAATTGCAAAATATTTCCATAACAACTACTTTGCAGCAGCTGCTCTGAAAAAAAAGTGGGGAGAACCAAGCTAACTGTCCGACAAGACGTGCGATGGAACTCAGTAGTGGACTGTTTTGATCACTATATCAAGAACTGGCCTAATCTGATGAACAATATTGTGAAAAAATAGATGGCACTGTCACAGCCAAAGTTCTCAACATTGGGCTTAAGAGAAATGTTGAACACGTGCTGAGTACCCTGAAGCCTATTTCTGTAGCCTTGAACAAAATGCAGGGAAATAGCTGTTTTATTGCGGACGCTGTTGAAATTTGGAAGGAACTGAGTGAGATCTTAAAAGAGAAATATGCAATGACAGAGTTAAATTATAAGCATTAAAAAAATGAATGGGACAAGCACTATCTCCAGCTCATTTTCTTGCAAATATTCTCAGTACTCGGTACCAGGGGCAAACCTTAACTGCTGCTGAAGAGGAGATGGCTATGACATGGATATCAGCAATCATCCCTTCATAATGCCAACTATAATAAACTTCAGAGCTAAGGGTGAACCATTCAAGAAATATATGTTTGCTGATGATGTTTTAAAGAAAGTCACACCAGTGAACTGGTGGAAGTCACTTAGGCACTTGGATTCAGAGACTGTTGAAGTGATAATCTCACTTTTAACAGCAGTAGCTTCTTCTGCTGGTGTAGAAATAATATTTTCTTCCTTTGGACTAATTCATTCCAAATTGAGAAATCGTTTGGGACCTGAAAAAGCAGGAGCGCTTGTTTTTTCTTTTCCAGATTATGAACAAACAGGAAAATGAAGGTGAAGATGACTGAGTTAGCTGCAGAACCCAATATTTTAAGTTTCTCATGTTGACCTGGCTGACAGTCGATTTAATTTTTGTTTTTAAATATTTCAATGAACTATTTTAGTTAAAAAATAATTTTAACAAAAACAGACCTGATTTTAAAAAACTTAAATGTTTAACTAAATTCAAAAATTCATGCGCTTGTTTTGTTAAAATATTATGTTTGCTGTTTGAAGAAAAAAATCCAGAATACATAATAATGTTTTAGTTAAAGAAAACAATTTAAATGTCTGTCTGGTGATGTTCTCCTCCTAATAGAGCATGGCAAGAAAATCCTCCAAATATTAATGATTAACCTGTTGAACTGGAGATAGTTCACCTCCCAATGACTTCATAAGTATCTGCTTCAATTACCTTTGGTAAATGAAGTAACCAAACAATCATTCATTTTCTGATATAGCTGTAAAACTAATCTGAAAAGTTTTCAAAATAAATCACTTTAAAAATGTATAGTGTGTATCTTCTAAAAATGAAAACTATATCTATCTCTGAATTGTGAAGAATATGTATTAAGGTTATAACAACCAACAAGAATTCACTTTTATGTAGAAATCCATGATTAAATAGAGTCTTCCTGACTAGTGATTTAAATCAAATCCATCCTCATGGCGGTCATGGCAGCCTTCCTGTGGAAGCGACAGGTGCAAGTATTCCCGTACCTAGACAACTGGCTAATCAAGGGCCAATCTCGGGCCCAAGTGGAGGACCACGTGAGCCTGCTGCACATGACGTTCCTCAGGCTTGGCCTCATTCTGAACGTGGCAAAGTCAACCATAACCCCCATTCAAAGAATAGAGTTTATCAGAGCCCTCCTAGACTCTGTTCTGGCCAGGGCTTTTCTTCCGGAATCTTGTTTCCTCACCATGAGCGCCATCATAGAGGATTTCAAAAGATTCCCCACCACTATGGCATGGAATTGCCTAATACTGCTCAGGCACATGACTGCTTGCACGTATGTGGTACAGCATGCCAGTCTGTGGCTCCATCTCCTTCAGGTTCGGCTAGCCAGAGTTTACAGGCTGAACCGAGACCACCTAGACAGACTGGTCACACTCGTTCCTCAGGTCCACGAGTCCCGCTGGTGGTAACTCAACCCACGAACAGTATGTGCAGGAATACCCTTCTCCAGACCTCAGCCATCGCTGTCACTAGTCATAGATGCGTTGGTGATGGGCTGGGGAGCGCACCTAGGCAGACTCAGAACTCAAGGTCTCTGGTCCCAGGCAGAATTTTCACTGCACATCAACGTCAGGGAGCAGCGTGCGGTGTGCCTCGCTTGCCAGATGTTTGAAACCCATCTACAGGGCAGATGTATATCGGTATTGACCGACAATACCACAGCAATGTTCTATATAAGCAGACAAGAAGGTGCTCGCTCTTCTACCCTGTTTCAAGAAGCCCTCAAGCTGTGGGACTTCTGCATCACCCACTTGATACACTTGGAGGCATCGTATCTTCTGGGCTCACAGAACGAACTGGCCAATCACCTAAGTAGGTCCTTTCACAGCCACGAGTGGTCTCTCCACCAGGATGTCCCGATCAACATTTTCTAAAGGTGGGGATCTCCCCAGATAGACCTGTTCATGACACGGCGCAAGAGGAAATGTCAGCAATTCTGCTCCTTCCTGAATCACAGCCCAGGCTTGCTTGTGGACGCCTTTCTCCTTTCGTGGAAGGGGTACCTGCTGTATGTATTCCTACCTTTCCCACTCATCCACAAAGTCCTCTTTAAAGGACTGATGAGAGAAAGCATCACTAATCTTGATAGCACCAGCGTGGCCCCATCACCACTGGTTCACTACGCTTCTATACCTGTCAGTGGACATACCTATAACTCTTCCCCTGGTTCCGGACTTGATCACGCAGGACCATGGCTGCCTCCAGTACCCCAACCTAGAGTCTCTCCACTTCACAGCATGGAAACTCCATGGCTGAACCCGTTAGAGCTTGCATGCTCAGACTCAGTTAGGGAGGTAGTCCTTGGCAGCAGAAACCCTTCCCCTTGTGCCACTTATCTGGCTAAGTGGAAGAGATTTTCAATTTGGTCTCTACAGAAGGACACTCCTACGTTGCATTAAAACAGCAGGGGCTGGCAGTATTGTCAATAAAGGTGCACCTGGCCGCTATTTCGGCTTTCCATCCTGGCTCAGCTGGTCGGTCAGTATTCGGTAACCCTATGGGTGGCTGCTTCCTCAAGAGGCTAGATAGACTGTACCCTCAAGTAAGACAGCCTATTCCCCAGTGGGATCGCAGTCTGGTGGTCTCAAGGCTGATGGGCCCTCCCTTTGAGCCCCTAGCACCATGCTCTCTCCTTTATTTTTCTTGGAAGGTGGAATTCCTAGTGGCTATAATTTCGGCTAGGAGGGTGTCTGAGCTCAAGGCCCTGACGTCCGAGCACTCTTACACTGTGTTTTATAAAGACAAGGTACAGTTGCGGCCGCATCCAGCTTTCCTCCCAAAGGTGGCTTCACAGTTGCATGCAAATCAAGACATTTTTTCTTTCAGTGTCCTTCTCTAAGCAACATGCCAATGACTGAGAACACATGCTTCATTCCCTGGATGTCAGACGGGCATTAGCCTTCTACATTGAATGGACTAAGCCATTTTGAAAATCAACACAGCTCTTCGTTGCGATTGCTGAGCAATGAAAGGGCTTCCTAAAGGATCTCCTCTTGGATCCCGGCTTAGGGTGTGCTATGACCTAGCAAAGATACCAGCACCAGCATTAACTTCTCACTCCACAAGACCGCAAGCTTCGTCGGCAGCATTCTTTGCTCAGGTTCCTATTCAAGACATCTTCAGGGCGGCGACATGGTAGTCTGTTCACGCTTTTATGTCGCACTACGCTATCACACAGCAGACTAGAGACGAGGCTGCATTTGGCAGAGCAACACTTCAATCTGTGACTCTGTGAATTCCAACCCCTCCTCTGAGGGACTGCTTGGGAGTCACCTACTTGGAATCAACACGAGCAGTCACTCGAAGAAGAAAAAACGGTTACCTACATTTCATAACTGTTGTTCTTCGAGATGTGTTGCTCATGTCCATTCTAAGACCCACCCATCTCCCCTCTGTTGGAGTACCCGGCAAGAAGGAACTCTAGAGGCGGCAGGTCGGCAGGGACCTATATACTCTGCCGTAAAGGCATGACTCTAGGGGCTCCACAGCCCCTAGACTGTGCGCACACACACCTGCTTGGAATGGACATGAGCAACACCTCTCGAAGAACAACAGTTATGAAAGGTAGGTAACTGTTTTTTCCCACTTCCACAGCCTTCCTCAAGAATGTTCCAGTCACAGAAATATGTAAAGAAGTGACTTGGACAACTGCTCATGCATTTACTGAACATTATGCAGTCACACACGACTCAACGTCTGATGCCATATTTGACTCTTCTGACTTATCCTCAATATTAGACTCAACTCTGAAGCCCAATTCCTCCATTAGGAGTACTGCTGTAGAGTCATTTTGAGTGGAGCACCCATAGGGACATTACTGAAAGAAGAAAGGGTTACTCACCTTGTGCAGTAACTGTGGTTCTCCGAGATGTGTGACCCTATGGGTGCTCCACTTGCCATATTCCTCCCCTCTGCTTCAGAGCACTTAGCAATGAGCTCTGTGGTAGAGAAAGAACTGAGGGCATTTCACTCTTGCAGCACTATATGGCCCTGGGGCAGAGAACAAGATGGGGAGAGCACATGTGCAGGCGGAATGGACACTGGTTCCTAAAATCTCCGATCTGAGGTGCAGGGATGCGAATACAACTAGAGTTGAGTTCCCACAGGCAAACACATCTCAAAGACCCACACTTGCTGTACAAGGTGAGTAACCCTTTCTTCCTTTTTTTGTTTAAATGTTTTTCTCCAGAGATGGCCCCTGCTAAACAAATAACTTTTTTTAATGATTTTACTGTAGTTCACATTAATTCACTCAATTTAACATCTGGCTTCTAGCGCATTCTGCTGATGCTGGCATGCTAGGAAAATCCAACTCCAGTGTGAAAGTATCTTCTTTATTTGTGGCAGGGTTGTGACACAATGATGTTTACAGCTTCAGTTCAGTCTGTACTATTGCAAATACTTAGGGATTACTAGATTCTGAAAAATAATCTTTCATTTTGTGTTTCTAATATAGGAAAAGGAAGTTGCATGCAGAATTAGTGAAGAACACAGATAATTATGTGGCCAACATCATAAAGGCTAAGCACTACATTGAAGAGAAGAAAAACAACCTGAATGGCGCCATGAGGCTAGCAAAGGAGTTAAAAATTACACCTTCGTTAAGAACCTGTTGTGATTTGAATCAGGTAGTTAAAGTAATCCACTGTAAAATTTTCTTTGAATGGATTAGCCAAACTCCGTTTTTTACATTTACTCTTCTGGCTGAAAGTTTTAAGCTGTTACTGTGATCCATCTTCCTGTTCGTTAATATTTCAAGATTCACTTTGTTACAGTAAAACATTTTTTTTTTTTTTCAGACTTCTTAACTTGATTCTTTAAATCATGTCTCATTATGGCCTTGGAGTTTGTATGTGGTTCATTTAAGTTCCACATTATTTTTAGACTTCGTTGCCTCTGACTTCCCAATATTGTGCAACCAATTTATTTTTCCTAATCTGGAGGCCAGTAGTATAACCCAAATAGTATTTTTGTATTCTTGCAGCCAGGGCTTTGTATCCACACAGATTCAACTATGGACCTCTCCATTCTATCAGGTGCCTGTGTAGGTTAGGCAGGCTTAAATTAAGTTGCTTGCTCACTGTTCTGGTTCAGAATAAAATTAGTTATTTCTTTAATTTTATGTTCAAGTGAAGTGTCTTGTGCTGATTGTCCAATACTAGAGACCGCTATCCCCTGATATGAGATCTGTTCATGTATCTGATGTTTTATGTAATAGAAAATTAAATTGCTCTTTTTTAATTTGAGGTTATTCATAACTTAAAGTTGACAGTTGAGGGTGAACTCTCAAGGGTGGATACTTTGAAGGAAAGAACATCTCTAAGGTAAATTATTGAAGCCTGATTTACAGTAGAAGGTAAAAACTGTGACACAATGGTGTTTATGCATCTAAAGTAGTAAACCGATACTCTTATTTTTTAATAAGTTTAATACAAATTAATATAATCAAAAATAGAAGAAATGGACTTGTCTTGAGTAATTTGTGTGATAGATACGAAAAAATGCCCAATAGCACCAGTTTGAATCATTCTTCTGAAATAAGCAAATAGAAAAGTACACGTGAAATCAATATATTAAAAACTTATGAAATTAACTTTACTGTTCTGTAAACACAGAAGTGTTTGCATTTCAAAAGATATTAGCAAACTTTCACCATGTGTAAAGCATAAATAATAGGGCTGTCAAGCGATTAAAAAAATTAATCGCCATTAATTGCACTGCTAAACAATAGTATAATACCATTATTTAAATATTTTTGGATGTTTTCTACTTTTTCAAATATATTGATTTCAGTTACAACACAGAATACAAATTGTATGGTGCTTACTTTATATTTATTTTTGATTACAAGTATTTGCACTATAAAAAAAACAAAAGTAATAATATTTTTCAATTCACCTAATACAAGTACTGTAGTACAATCTCTTTATCATGAAAGTTGAGCTTACAAATTATAGAATTATGTACCAAAAAACCTGCATTCAAAAATAAAACAATCTAAAATTTTAGAGCCTGCAAGTCCACACAGTCCTACTTCTTGTACAGCCAATCGCTCAGACAAACAAGTTTGTTTACATTTGCAGGAGATAATGCTGCTGCTTCTTGTTTACCATGTCACCTGAAAGTGAGAACAGGAATTCTAATAGCACTGTTGTAGCTGGTGTCACAAGGTATTTACGTGCCAGATGTGCTAAAGATTCATATGTCCCTTCATGATTCAACCACCTTTCCAGGGGACATGCATCCATGCTGACGACGGGTTCTGCTCAATAACAATCCAAAGCAGTGCGATTGACACATGTTCGTTTTCATTATCTGCGTCAGATGCCACCAGCAGAAGGTTGATTTTCTTTTTTGGTGGTTCGGGTTCTGTAGTTTCCACATCGGAGTGTTGCTCTTTTAAGACTTCTGAAAGCATGCTCCACACCCCATTCCTCTCAGATTTTGAACAGCACTTCAGATTCCTAAACCTTGGATCAAGTGCTGTAGGTATCTTTAGAAATCTCACATTGGTACCTTCTTTGCATTTTGTCAATCTGCAGTGACAGTGTTCTTAAAATGAACAACGTGTGCTGGGTCATCATCCGAGACTGCTATAACATGAAATATATGGGTAAAACAGAGCAGGGGACATACAATTCACCCGCAAGAAGTTCAGTCACAAATTTAATTAACGCATTATTTTTTTAACAAGCATCATCAGCATGGAAGCATGTCCTCTGGAATGGTGGCCGAAACATGAAGAGGCATACGAATGTTTAGCATATCTGGCACGTAAATACCTTGCAATGCCTGCTACAAAAGTGCCATGCAAATACATGTTCTCACTTTCTGATGACGTAAATAAGAAGAGGGCAGCATTAACTCCTGTAAATGTAAACAAACTTGTTTGTCTTAGCGATTGGCTGAACAAGAAGTAGGACTGAGTTGGACAACCCAGGGAATTACAGACCAGTCAGCTTAACTTCTATACCCGGAAAGATAATGAAGCAAATAATTAAGCAATCAGTTTGCAAACATCTAGAACAGGGGGAGGCAACCTATGGCACGTGTGCTGAAGGCGGCACGCGAGCTGATTTTCACTGGCACTCACACTGCCCGGGTCCTGGCCACCGGTCTGGGGGCTCTGCATTTTAATTTAATTTTAAATGAAGTTTCTTAAACATTTTTAAAACCTGATTTACTTTACATACAACAATAGTTTAGTTATATATTATAGAAAGAGACCTTCTAAAAACATTACAATGTATTACTGGCATGCAAAACCTTAAATTAGAGTGAATAAATGAAAACTTGGCACACCATTTCTGAAAGGTTGCCGACCCCTGATCTAGAAGATAAGGTGATAGGTAACAGTCAGCATGGATTTGTCAAAAACAACTTTTGTCAAACCAACCTGATAGCTTTCTTTGACAGGGTAACAAGCTTCGTGGATGGGGGAAGTGTTAGACATGGTATATCTTGACTTTAGTAAAGCTTTTGATACTGTCTCGTATGACCTTCTCATAAACAAACTAGGGAAATGCAACCTAGTTGGAGCTACTATAAGGTGTGTGCAAAACTAGTTGGAAAACCATTCCAGAGAGTAGTTATCCGTGGGTCACAGTCATGCTGGAAGGGCATAACGAGTGAGATCCCGCAGGGATCAGTTCTGGGTCCAGTTCTGTTCAATATCTTCATCAGTGATTTAGATAATGACATAGAGAGTACACTTACAAGGTTTGTGGATGATACCAAGTTGGGAGGGGTTTCAAGGGCTTTTGGGGTTAGGTTTAAAATTCAAAATGATCTGGACAAACTGGAGAAATGGTTGGAAGTAAATACAATGAAATTCATTAAGGACAAATGCAAAGTACTCCATTTAGGAAGGAACAATCAGTTGCACACATACAAAATGGGAAATGATTGCCTAGGAAGGAGTACTGCAAAAAGGGATCTGGGGGTCATAGTGGACCACAAGCTAAATATGAGTCAACAGTGCAACACTGTTGCAAAAAAAGTGAACATCATTCTGGGATGTATTATCAGAAGTGTAGTAAGCAAGACACTAGAAGTAATTCTTCTGCTCTACTCCATGCTGATTAGGCCTCATCTGGAGTATTGTGTCCAGTTCTAGGCACCACATTTCAGGAAGGATGTGGACAAATTGGAGAGAGTCTAGAGAAGAGCGACAAAAATGATTAAAAGTCTAGAAAACATGACCTATGAGAGAAAATTGAAAAAAAAATTGGTTTGTTTAGTCTGGAAAAGAGAAGACAGAGAGGGGACATAACAGTTTTCAAGTGTGTAAAAGGTTGTTACAAGGAGGAGGAAGAAAAATTGTTTTTCTTAACCGCTGAGGATAGGACAAGAAGCAATGGGCTGGACATTAGATTGGACATTAGGAAAAACTTCCTAACTTTCAGGGTAGTTAAGCACTGGAATGAATTGCCTAGGGAGGTTGTGGAGTCTCCATCATTGGAGATTTTTAAGAGCAGGTTAGACAAACTCCTGTCAGAAATGGTCTAGATAATACCTAGTCCTGCCATGAGTGCAGGGGACTGGACTAGATGACCTGTCTAGGTCCCTTCCAGTTCTAGGAGTCTATGATTTGTAGGCTCTGAAGTTTTACATTGTTTTGTTTTTGAGTGTGTTATGTAACAATGATGAAGAGATTGCACTACAGTACTTGTATGGGATTAATTGAAAAATACTATTTCTTTTGTTTATCATTTTTACAGTGCAAATATTTGTAATAAAAAATAATATACACTTTGATTTCAATTACAACACGGAATACAATATATATGAAAATGTAGAAAAACAGCCAAAATATTTAATAAATTTCAATTGGTATTCTATTCTTTAACAGTGCGATAAAAACTGCCATTAATCACGATTAATTTTTAATCACTTTTTTTGAGTTAATCGCATGAGTTAACTGCGATTAATCGACAGCCCTAATAAATAATAAAGTAGTAGTAATACACCGTATAAAAGTGAGTAACTTAAATTTTTTTCCAATCAAATGTCCACTCTTCTGCCCCTAGTGTATGCTGGGCTCCCACAAGGGCTGCTCAAGATGAAATCTCAGTGGCCCCTGACCATGAATTTTCTAACAGAAATGAAAGCAAATAATACACAAGTCCAACTTAAAGCTGGTACAGCTTCAGAGCCACAGTCATAGAATCATAGACTATCAGGGTTGGAAGGGACCTCAGGAGGTCATCTAGTCCAACCCCCTGCTCAAAGCAAGACCAATTCCCAACTAAATCATCCCAGCCAGGGCTTTGTCAAGCTGGGCCTTAAAGCAGAATCTTTATTTGGGTGCTGTTGTCCCTCTCTTGATCAAGAAAATAGTCAGAAATCTTTATTTACAGTTCTGTTAGCCTACTTCTTGCTATATGATAGGAAACAGATTTTGAGAGCTCTGAGACTGGCCAGAAAATTAAATATAAAAGAACTTTGAGATTTTTTCCTGAATTAATTTGTCCATCTTGATTTGGCAGGAGGTGGAAATAGAGGCTTCGTTTTGATGTAAGCCAGAAACAAAAAGATTAAGTACTTGGGCTTTGAGTATACTTTAGTTCCTGAGGATGGTTATTGGAAAATATAATTTATATTTTCACTATCCTAAGGATTATTTGTGGAACAGTGTGAGGCATTGATATAGAAACTCACTAAATAGATGCAGAAGTAGTGAAGGAATGCTGGGAAATCAGATTATACCACATAATATATTTGGTAAAGGTAAATGAGCAGCCAAGTCTACCATTAGAGAGCTATCATCAGTGTGTTAGTCATTGGTAATTTTCTTGACTAAAACTGGAGAAATGGAAATGGAAAACTGAATTGACCTCTGTTTCTTCACATTGCTTCAGACCCTATAGGACTTCACTAATTAGTTAATATAATATTTGTGAATTGTCAGACTGATTTAAACCTTTGGGTGACCTCCCTGATATCATTCTTCTTTTACTCTAGATTTCTCATGAACTGTGATGAAATTACCTCTATGTTCAAAAATATAGGGAAGATTGAATTGGAAATACCTACAAAGTAAGCGTTTTCTTTTTTGAATAAAGAAAACTAATGCAGTGATTTATGCAATTTTCTTACCGCTGAGCAATTTACAAACACCTATAGCGAAAGGTCTACGTGTATGCTTACTGATTTTAAAACTAGAATGTACAGTTGTAGCAAGAGATCTTAAAGTCAATATTTCAGTCTGTCTTGTTTGATTCAGATAAGAAACAGGACTTCAGTATAGGTTAAAACTACTTATTGGAGGATTGAGTACCATTGGGTATATTGGTATACGGTGCCTTTACCATTGGGATTTCTTTATGCTTAACAATATACCAACCTCAAGTGACAGAAAGTGGTAGAATAATTGGGATGTCAGTACTTCCAATAAATGAAAATTACTCTACAAATGGGTTTACATTTACTCAAAGTTAATAGCAAATACTAAAATATTCAGTAATACAACTTTTGAGGATAAACTCTGATTATGAGGTAACAGAAAAACCAATATAGATTAAACATAAATGACACATTTTCTTATTGGAAAACAGCTACTGTTTCTATTTCATTGTGCCTCTTCGCTTTCACTTGCTCAAACAGGTTTTGATAAATGACTGTAAATTATGATGATTTATAGTATATCAAATTGATGGACTGTTTGTAGTGGAGTGCCACAGGTGCCAGTATTCGGATCATCACTGCCTACATTAATAGTCTGAAAAAGGGGGCATAGAGCATTCTAACATGTAGATAATATTTGGGAAATGTTGCAAACTCCAGTGAGGAGAGAGAGAAACTCTACAGAGGGACCTAGAGAGGCTAGGAATGTAAGGCCATATCATCGTACCAAACTATCCATTGAAATCAGTGAATAGTTTTGTTTAAAAACTGATGGCATATTATGCCCATAGGTAGGGAAAACAAACTTAGATTCAACCTGGAAAAATTCAATACACCAAGGAAAAACCCTGATATGCTTGGAGATAGAAACTTGAAGAGTAGTGATGTTAATAGACATGGAGAATGAATGTATATAGCAAAGTATATATGGCTTTACTCTGGGGGCATTCTGCACCAAAAAAATAAAAATTCTGTGCACAGTATTTTAAAATTCTGCATATTTTATTTGTCAAAATAACACCACATAATCATGCCAGTTTCAAATATTTTGGTAATTTATTTCAAAATACCTGTCAGCAAGTGTGTCTGTATTGTTACAGACCTACACAAAATTTTCCCCAGGAGTAGAGAGTTAAATAAACCCCTATGACAACCCAGTTCCTGTTTCTCTGCCCCCAGAGCCTAGCCGGGGAGCCAGACACCCAGAGCCCAGCCACCACCACCCCCAGCCAATACACCCGCACCCCTTTCCCCCCCAGACTCAGCCACCAGGTCCCTTGCACAGATATCCACAGTCCCCCCCCAGAGCCCAACCATGGCCCCCTAGCCCAGACACCCCCCCCCCAAAGCCCAGGGATCCAGAATGAGAAACAGCCTGATGCTCGGTCCCAGGCTTGGATGGAGTTTCTTGCATGCCGCCCTCTCCTTCCCTCAAGGCATGCTGGGAACTGCTGCTGCCAGGAACCTTCTAGCTCCCTCTCCCTCCCCCCAGCAGCGTCTTCTATGTGCGAGCTGGGTTCTGTTAGGTCCAGTGGCCTCTAGTAGCAGCTAGCAGCACTGCAGCCCATTTCTTGTTGGGGCGGGGAAGGAAATTCTGCGTGGACAACCCCCTGCTCAAAGCAGGACCAACACCAACTAAATCAGTAGTAGGATTCAGACTCAGTTTGCTCATCTGAATCCTACTACTCCCCCACCCATAGGAGGAGGACAGGGTACTAAAAGGTAAGGACCTCGTCCCTACCCCCCACAAGCACAAGACCCATCAGCAAAATCCCAGGCTTTGTGGGAACCATTCTTTTTAATTGCAATAGAATCCAGCCACAAGTTGTGACAAAATTAACATTCCTACTAAATACTACCACAGATTATGAAATCCTATTCCTGTTTAACCTAATTGTGCCTCCAAGATGCTTCAAAGCAGGGGGAAAACCCATCAGGCCTATGCTAATATGGCCCCAATGGAAAGAAAAATTATTTCTTGACCGCAAAATAGGTGATTGGTCAGACCTGCAGCTTCTGCAAGACACAGCTATGAAACTACTGTTACAGGGAGAGGGAGTAGGGCTGCTGAAATAGAGCAAAAAAAAAGGCTCCATGTATCCTGGGCTAGGGGTTAAATTTGTGAAGGAGGAGAGTGAGGGACCAATTAGCTCTCTTCCCCCCCCAGCTGGCCAGTGAGTGGATAAAGCATTCATAGGTGGAGTGGCCACCCTTGTGACCCCAGTGAGTGCTCTACTTCCTCTTTCTACTTGGGCTGTCCCAGTTACTGCCTGTCCCATCAAGTTTTCCACTTGTTGAGGTGAGTGGGTTTTGTTCCTGGCACCTCAACACCAGAAAGATGATGGAGGGAGTTCAAAGAAAAGCAACAGTGATTAAGGAAGGAATTAGCTTTTGAGGAAATATTAAAAAGAATCAAATGTGTACTAGTATAGGTTGAGCATGTGTGTTGGTGTGAAAGTGGATGAGGAGAAAATGTTTGAAGGGTGTAAACAGCATGTAGAAGAAGGAAGAATGATTTAGGTATCACAGCAGGAATAAATGGATGAACTAAAGAAAAGAAAAATGTTTGAATGTTGGGAAAATTCCATCAGTCAGGTCCCTTGTCCTGCCCAGTTATCCCAGGAGTATTAGGTCTTACCTATACTGGGAATTTGGCTCTATTCCAGCCAGCTTTGATACATAACTAGTGCAGACACCAAGTATAAACCATGAAAACTACAATTTGCACAGGTGAAACTTTACTTCTGCTTGAAATCAAGATAATGTGCTTATGTGTAAAATGTGGTTTTCCTTTTCCATACTTCTATGCGGTGCAATTATATGGGCCATTGATTGCAGGAATTGGCACAAAGTCCTAGTGGAGACAAGGCAGAATGAAGAATAATCTCTTAAGGAAAATGGTAGCAACCCTATTTCTAAGATATTTATAACTAGATTGGGCAGACCTCTCTAATATATGTTCTAGGAAAAATCTTCTACTGATGTAGAGTTGGACTAAATAATCTAATATTTTTCTTCCATGTGTTTAATACACCTCTACCCTGATATAACGCGACCCGATATAACACAAATTCGGATATAACACGGTAAAGCAGTGCTCCGGGGGGGACGGGGCTGCGCACTCCGGCCGATCAAAGCAAGTTCGATATAATGCGGTTTCACCTATAACGCGGTAAGATTTTTTGGCTCCTGAGGACAGCATTATATCGGGGTAGAGGTGTATGTATTACTAGGTTTGGCAGAATTAGATTTATAGTTTTGACGGGTAATATCAATACTTATTTTTAAGCATTGTTTTAGATTTTTTTATTAATGTAAATTTTCCACAGTTACAGGAAATTACAAGGGTATGTCAGAAATAGGGACGGGTCAAACAATTTAATGACAGTAAACACTGAGATTTTAAAAAGTTTAAAGCTTCATGATTGTTAAAACACAAATTGACATCACATGTCAAAATATACAAAGTAAATATTCTTAAATAAAACTCCAATAAGTTCTCAAGCAGCATTGTAAATTTCAATTATTATCAATGGAAATATTTTTTCCTAGGTTTGTGTGTATGGTGAAATTGACATTTGCCACATTTAACCATAAAAATAGAATCTTTCCAAGCCTTTATATTACTATTATTCTGAGCATTTTAGGAAAGAACATTGTGAACATAAACTCTTCACTGCTAGATTCAACAGTGAGGAAAAATAAGTATAACTTACCTTTCTGAGGATAGCAGGGATCTTCTGCAGGGGGTAGAGATTTTAGGGTCTGTTCCGGTCTGAAGAGCTATTGATCTTGGTGGCATTCTGCTACATAAAGCCTAGATCTATCTTTCACAGTTTTTGGGGGAGTAAGACTGTGTTGAGCATATTAGGGATTTGTTTGTTTGGGATCAGTGGTTGGCATGAGGAGGATTTCCTCCCTGTTTTTGTCTTAAGAAAGTTACTGCTCCATTTCTTTAAGTTGATTTGAACCTTTAATGGATGTTAAGGATATCTTGAACTTTTGGAAGATTGCTTTTTATGTTTTTGTTTAAATAAAAAAAATTTTTGGTTCTTGAGACTAAGTCCCGGTATTTTATCATGGAATCGTGATTGTTTAAAATAAAAATTCTGCTTTACGGTACCCTTCTGTGAAATGAAATCTGAATAAGTTAATATATTTCTCCAAATAGATGTTGCCCTGGAGATGATGGACAAAGCATTCTCATGGTCAGTAATCAGGGAGAAGTATCAAACTGTGACACTTATTTGTCGGTAGAAAAGAATAAATTTACAACACTTGTAAGAGGTAATGAAGCAGAGACTCTTATACAGCAAGAACTTGATGTGCATACAGAAGTGAAAAATGTCCAGCTTTACCAATTAATTACAACACCCTCTCAAAAAAGTATTCTGACTTTACCCCAAACGATGTCTGGTCCTGATGTCATAATTGAAGAAATCATGGAAGATGACCAGGAAAGTGAGTTGCTTAATATTTGTTAATTTGAACATATGACTATAATATCTTTTAAACTAGTGTATTTATCAAGACTAGCCCTTTTAGCACTCCGTTTGCTTCATATTTTGTTGTTGCTTTTTCTGTAGCTGAAATTTTTCCATTCAAGGTTCTGATCAGTATGGGTTCCTGGTCTTGATAGTTTCCATTGACCACTTGAGTCATCTCCTTTTAGAGTCTGGGTCATTGGTTTTTGGAGATTCGTCCTCCTGGCCTTTTCCCCCAGGTTTATTCTGGGCCTTCATACAGGCCAGTGTCTCGCTTTAACCAGTAACCGATTTAAGTCTCTCAGGTGATTGATTGCAGATGTGTATCCCACTTAAGTGTGCACATGCTCTGTGCATTGAAGCCAGGGAACTTTGCCTCACGGTATTTGTAGGGGTGGCGCTCGAGTCCTCTGGTCCATAGCTCCTCCCATGGTTATTTAAGGGCAGTACCATCCCCAACACCCCTCAGTTCCTTCTCAGAGCCCATGGCTTGAGTCGGAGCTTTCTGCGTGGTATTTCACTGCACGCTTTCTGTGTGATGGTGTTCTGGGATTTTGCTGTAAATAGTTAGTAAGCAGTTAGTTCTAGTAGTGCCTTTAGGTTTAGTTAGTAGTTAAGTAGATTGGGATGCCTTCACCAGGTTTTAAACACTGCCTGTTATGTGGGGTGCCTATCTCTAATAGTGACCCCCATATTTGGAGCTTATTGTGCCTGGAGGAGGGGCATATTAAGGAAAGGTTCTCTATCTGTAAGTTGTTCAAAAAGAGAACGCAGGTGGCAAGAGATTTGCACCTTATGGAGCATGCTATGAGACCTGGTTCAGCACCGGGGACCTCCACAGATCATCTGGTCCCAGAGAGATCTTCTGAGCTGGCATGAAATGTTGTTCGAGGCCCAAAGTTGAATTTCTCTCTTAGGAGGAAGAGGGATTATTCTTCTTTTGGTCCTATGAGGAAAAGGTCTCAGAAGATGGACCAGAGCTATTCCATGGCTCTGAGAGAGTCCTCCTCCTTTTTCTAAGAGGAGTGCAGACTAGTACCGTGATTACTCGGGCACACAAGATAGAGCTAGGCCATCTAACCACTCTCTGGTCCCGAGTTGACATTATTTGGACCCCGTACCATCAATTCCAATACCATCTATGGGATGTCCATTGAGTCTGGTACTGACAGCATTGGTGTCGCCACTGACTGTCTATGCCATTGGCCTGCCAGGCAGCATCGGACCTTCTCTGCCTCTCCATTCCTGATTCTCCAATAATTCAGGGCCATTCAGTTGCCATGGCTGCTTCTGCTGTGTCCTTGTTGCTACCTTATCTAGTTGCAGAGTTGTCTCTGTCATCAGCACCATTGTCCGCACTGCCCAATACTCAGAGTGCCGACTTGAGGTCTGCTTCCCCCTTAGTACTGAGGGGCCCGTTGGCGCAGATACTGTCTTCGTCACCAATGATGACACATCTGCAGGATCAGTTCCAGGCCCAGCTTTGGTACCTATATCTGTTTTGATGCCTACTGGGAGTGCGATTCCCCTTCTGGTATTCAAGGTGTCTACTACTCTACCATCCTTGCTACTGATGTGACATGCATATTGGCATTCAGATGAGGCTGGTTGTTTGCTTGCTCCATGTGGGGTGGCTTCTGCGTTGCCATCGGACGACATCCAGGGTTCAGTGAGATTGAAGACATTTTCTCCCTCACCGTTGCTTTTGGGCACAGCTCCCAAAAGTTTGAGCACTCCTGTGGATCGCCATTGGTACCAAGATTGGCACCACTCCTGCAGTAGGCGTAGGAGTGTGTACTGACCACAGTTGCCCTAACCTTGTCCTCTGTGGCCTCCTTGGAATCCTTGGGACATCCTTTGATAGGCAAGGTCCTGGTCCTCAGTCCAGGGCAAAGTCTCCAATCCTGTCTGTAGTGTCCCCTCTTGAGCCACCTACGTTGCAGAAAGAGACTGGGGTTGCTGTCTCTGAAATAGTTCAGCCTGAACTGTGCTTGCAGGGGCAAGTGTTCCCGCAAGAGGCTCCATTGGCCCTGCTCCCTTCCTCTTCCTCCTCACTGGATGATTCTGTGGTGCCAGATTTCTCTTCTCCTGTGCTTAAGAATTTTAAGTCTTATCAGGATCTCCTGAGATGGCTGGCTACAGCCTTGGACGTTTAGGCTGAGTTTGTTCAGGAGAATACCCATACATTGGTGGACATCCTCCAGCTGTCAGCCCCAGTGAGAGTAGCTGTCCCTATAAAAGAAGTGCTTTTGAAACTTACAAAAACTTAGTGGCATACGCCAGCTTCTTAACCATCCACAGCAAAGTGTACTAATAGACCGTATTATGTCTCTGTGCAGGGTTTCGAGTGCCTCTACATACATCCAATCTCTAATTCTCTAGGTATGGTGTTAGAAAATGTCAGATTATGGCAGGGGAGATACAAGTCCATGCTTAAGGACAGAGTATACGAGGCTAGATTTGATGGGGAGAAAAAAATTATTCAACCTTGTTACAAATGCGCATTGTGAATCAGCAGGCACTGTTGTCTAAATATCACTTTAAATGGGAAGCTATGTCCAGATTTACTGACAACTTGTCAGAATCCTCCAGGGAAGAGTTTAAGGGTGTTCTAGTGGAAGGCCATGTAGTGGCCAAGACATCGTTGCAGTCAGCACTCGGCATGGCAGATAATTCTCCCAGTATTGTGGCATCAATTGTAACTGCAGCCTTGTGGCAGCAGAACTTCGGCATAACCCCTGAAGTTCAACAGAGCATAAAGGATTTACCTTTGGATGGATGGGTTTTATTTTCTGGGAAAGCCTGAGAAAACACTACATTCTTTTAAGGACTCCCATGGTAGATTGCGTTCACTGGGAGTTTATTCCCCAGCCATAAAGAGATGTCATTATGGAGGTCGTCAACAAAAGCAGCAATACTGCCTGCAGTGATGCTTCCAGCAGTCATCCTGCCGCGCTAGGCAGCAAGACGTCTACAGGAAAGGAAATAAGTCACAGAGGAGGGGGCCTTCTCAGTCCAATATTAACCAGCCAGCCCGTCCTCTGCCAGCTTCGAGCATGCAGTCATTTTGACTTGCGTATTGAGAGCAGCATTCCAGTCATGGAGTTCCTGACTCCATCTCCAGAGTTTGGAGATGGGCTTGTCTTGCTTCTCAGTGCTTGGGAAACAATAACCGTGGACAAATTGGGTGCTAAGCACTGTGGGAGCGGGTTAAGCCATCCAATTTCTGTCCATTTTCCCCCATGCCACCTTCCAACCCTGTCCCTTTTCAGGGATTCCTTTCATGAGGTACCGCTCCTTCAGTAGGTTCACACGCTGTGTGCTTTGGCAGCTATAGAGGAGGTTCCCCTGCAGAATCAGGGGAAGGGATTCTACTCCTGGTATTTCCTGAACCCCCAAGTCCTAGGATGCGGTGAGACCTATCCTTGATCTCTGCAGTCTCAACAAGTACATCAAATACACAAGTTTCTGCATGGTTACCCTGGCTACTGTTCTCTCTGCTTTGAATCATGACTAGCTTGCTGCCCTCCATCTTCAGGGACACTTACTTTCAAGCGGTGATTTTCCTGAGCCACTGGAGGTTTCTGAGATTTGTGTGGCATGTCAGCATAATCAGTGCACAGTGTTCCCTTGTGGCTTCTCTTTGGCTTCATGCGTGTTTACCAAATGCATGACTGTAGTGACACCGAATCTCAGGGAATTTGTGTCCATAGCTGGATGATTGGGTTAGTGAGGAGCAGGTCCAGAGAACAAATCTTCTGTTGTGTCCAAATCACATTGTTTCTTTGATTGTCTGGGCCTGATTTTAAATAAGGGAAAGTCAGCATTAATACCAACTCAAAAAATGGAGTGCAGTGGGACCCTACTAGACTGCGAGTTCAAGGGTGTTTCTGCCGAATGAGCAATTTTAAGCAATCCATCATCTGTGCCTGTCCTTATGCTCTCATCTTTCAACTATAATCTGTATATACCTGAAATTGTTAGGTCATGTGGCCACATGCACTTACATATTCCACCATGCAAGGTTGTGCCTTTGTCCTCTTCTGGGCTGGTTGAAAGAGGTGGTTACTTTGTGGGACTTGAGCACTGTGCTGGCTACCCTTATGGGATCTCTGAGCCCCTGACAACCTGTTCTCTGTCTCATCTGAGCGAAAAGATGGCCTTTCTTGTTGCTATAACATTTGCGAGGAGAATAAATGAGCTGCAAGCCTTAATGGCAAATCCCCCATATATGCAATTTTCAAAGACAAAGTGACCCTAAGGCTGCATACACAATTTTTGTCGAATGTAGAACTGCTAAACCACCTTAACCATATACATACTGGTCTGTTATTCTTAAGCTGCATTCAAGCACAGATGAGCAGCACCTTCATACGTTGGATGTGAGACAATGCGTGGTGTTTTATTTGGTGAGGACTGAACCATTGTGTTTCATCACATTGACTTTTTGTTTCCTGTGCAGATTGCCTGGAGGGTCGGGCAGTCTCTCATACACTATTTCCAGTTGGATAACTGTCTGCATTATGCCGCTCATGGATTAGCTCATATCACTCCTCCACAGAGGCTTTGGGATCATTTGACGAGAACCCAAGCAACGTCGATCACATTCCTCGGTGTTGTTTCAATATTGGATATTTGCAGGGTTGCTACATGGTCTTCTCTATATACTTCTACTAAGTACTATGCTATTATGGCTGAGTCTAGATCAGATGCAAACTATGGGAAGGGAAGGTGGTTCTGCAGTCGTTCTTTAAGTAGATTCCAAACCCTACCTCCTATGGCTTGTGAGTCACCTGAGTAGAATACACATTTGCAACCAGTCAAAGAAAAAACAACGAGGAGTCTTTGTGGCACTTGAGACTAACAAACTTATTTGGGCATAATCTTTTGTGGGCTAAAACCCACTTCATCAGATGCATGGAGTGAAAAATACAGTAAGCAGGTATATATATATATATATATATATATACAGCACATGAAAAGATGGGAGTTGCCTTACCAAGTGGAGGGGTCAGTAATTTTCCCTCCGATATTTACCCCTTGTCATCTGTTGGGAATGGGCCACATCTACCCTAATTGAATTGGCCTCATTAGCACTGACCCCCTACTTGGTAAGGCAACGCCCATCTTTTCATGTGCTGTGTATATATATACCTGCTTACTGTATTTTTCACTCCGTGCATCTGATGAAGTGGGTTTTAGCCCACAAAAGCTTATGCCCAAATAAATTTGTTAGCCTCTAAGGTGCCACAAGGACGACTCGTTGTTTTTGCTGATACAGACTAACACGGCTACCACTCTGAAACCTGTCAAAGAAAAAAGTTACCTACCTGTACTATAACTGTTCCTTTGAGATGTGGCTGCAGACTTGTTATTCCATGGCCTTCCATCCCCTCTCCATCAGAGTCTCAAATATTGACCTTTCATGAGAAGGAACTGAGGTGTGGAAGCAGATTCTCCGACAGAGGGGAATCGGGTGTTGCTGCTCTTAAATTGTCATGTGGAAGGGATATGGGCCAGAGGGTGTGAGCACCATCCCTACTGGTCTTGGAAGGCAAAGTTCTTTGCTGCACTGGACACACACACACCCCTTAGTGGCGTACGTGTCTGCACCCAAATCTCGAAGAACAACAAGTAGCTAACAATCTTTTCCTATGTGAACCATATGTTGGCTTGTTGAAAGCCTCCTGCTGCTGGTTCCAGGTTTCTGTTAACTGTTCTGCACTAAAATGTGTAGGACAGATTTTCCTACTTTGGCACAATTCCTGAAGCTGTCTAGTTATTTTCAGATTCTTATTCTTCCTCTTGCCTTCTCTCAAGTTTCCATATTCTAAAGCTGAACAGGAAGATATGGAAAAGATGGTCGTTGATTTTTCTTTGATTTTTTTTTATAACTGTTGGATATCCTGCAGCATATTTCACTTAAGCTGCTACCACAACATAATTAACCTTTGCACCCTGTAAATATTTTCGCTGTTCCTGTGCTCACACTGATTGCACCCATTTTATTTACAACCCCTTTTGGAAAGGGGATTGCAATCCCTTCCTTTGATCGGGTGCTCAAGCCTTTTAACTCACAACTGCTTGTCTTCCTAAGGTCAGAGTTAGTGTACTGTTTACTCCATACATCAGAGTAATTGTCACCACTAAACAATTACATATGTCTTTATTTATGAAATAATTTGATAGTGGAAGATGTCGGTAAGTACACTTTACCGAGAGATGCTTTTGCCATGTCTTTGGAATCCAATTGCAGTCTCATGGACCCAGCAGCAAAGTGTCTTGTGCCCAAATAGCTTAGTCTGAGAATAATTATGTGAGCAATAATGTACCTCACGGGGATGGTGGTGGTTATATCTGATAACTGTATGACTCCAGAACATGGATGTATGATACCAAACCTAAGTGGTATAAACTTCATAATGAATTCAGATGTCTAAAATAACATCTTCAACAAATATAGCAGCTTTGACAAAAAAGTTTCTGTAACCAGTCGTCCTGATCCTGTGGTGTTATACGGTATCCTTGCACATTCAGACTAGTGCATTCTTAGCTAGTAATTATTCCACTATCTCCATCAGTTATATCTAATTATATTAAACTCTTTTTTTTTAAAAGCACATTCCACAGAATATCTTAAAGATACACATAGGAAAAATCTTTCCCAGAAAAAGGTTATACCTTTTGGACAAAGCGCAGGTAAGTGTCTCTCCTCTGGTAAACTGTTTCCTTGATATTCTTTAAAGTATATGTCATATTTAATCAGTATTCTTGATGTTTGTTGATAAACTGGAATGGACAAAGATCCTAATGTTGGAAAAATGAGATTGTGATTTTTAGGGGTGTGTTCTTTATTTCGTTTTCCAAAAATCTCATTCTCTGAAGTCTGAATAATGATTTTTCAGGGTTTTAAGCAAGCAATCTATTTCAACCCATTGAGAGAAGAGGATGAACAGGACCGCTGTTCTTTTCCCAATGTAAGAATCCTTGTCCATTCTAGTTCACAATCTTTTAGACTAAAAATTTGTGTGTAGTTTGTGTACAGAATAATATTTTATAAATTAACAATGTACTTAAAAGGCAAATCACTTTCTAACCGGTTGCACAAACAAGTCACTGCTGTCTTGGTTTACTTAAATTGTGGTTCTTCGAGTGCTTGCTCGTGTCTAGTCTACGTTAGATGTGTGCATACTGCGTTCACCGTTGCCAGAGATTTTTCCCTTAGTGGTATCCATCGGACTGGCTCTAGCACCTATGAAAAGGACTGTACTTAAGCATAATCATGTATAGGCAGAGTATGAAATGTTAACCTTTTTAAATGCTGTCAACCTTCCTAATCACCTAGGGTAAGTTGATTTTTCAAAAGCGAATGGTGTGTGCTAACTTTGTGTATAGTTCCAGTGCTTTGGCTGTTTGTTTATAGCTTTCTCAAGCTGCAGCAGAGTGAAAGTGGACCAGAGTTGTTTTGGTTTCCCCTGCTAATGCGAAATTTGTAGGCAACAGTAACAAGAATCAGATCATCTTCACTAAGCTGCTGTTTCCAAAGCTGGAGCAGCAGTAAAGGAAGGCATTAGAATTATTAGTTAGAAGGCTTAATATTTATCAGACACCACCCAAATGGAAGCTACAGAAAATGTCCAAGGATATCACACTGCTAGAGATTCCAGTGCTCTCCACTTTCTCAGTAGCTTGTAGGGTATTTGGCTCCTTGTATCAGGGTTGCCCTTGGACAGTGAGGCCCCTCTTCTTAGTTCAGGCCTCTGTTTGAATTTTTTTTAAAGCGAGTATCTATCTCTGATTTAAAATCAGGTATCTAGCTCAGTTTGAGCAAGCAGATGTGAGTGGATGAGTGTGAATTGATATGACAGAGATTTTGAGGAAAGAAGTAATTTAGATTGTAAATTCTTTGGTGCAGGGACCTTTTTATGTGTTTTATACAGCACCTAGCACAGCGGAGCCCTGATTCGTGATTGGAGCCCGTACATGTTAGCACAGTACTAGTAATAAATAAATCCTAGAAAGAGAAAATATAGGGGGAAAAGTAGAGAACAGTTTAGGGAAAAAAAGATAAATGGAATCCAAGTGTGAAAGAGGGGTGAAAAGAGGAAACACACAGAAAATAATGACAGGAAAAGATGTACTATGATCCAAGAGGGAAAACAAGATATAGCAAAGGCAAGAGAAACAGTAATAAGTTATAATAAACATATTAAAACATTTTTGACAGTCTATTACAATGAAATATTCTACAGAATACTACAACTATTTTATAGAAGGTGGCACGGTGGAACAATTATTTTTCACTCTTTGTAGTAGGTTTAGTCCTCAGGCTAATAGATGTCAGGTAAGTCTTTCAAACCCTGTTTATAGACGTATGTAGTTTGTCTTCATGACTAACTCAGATATGTTTCTTCAGAGCACTGTTTAGAAGAGCACATCATCAAGGGGGTGATCATAGTAGTTAGCTTACCACTCTTTCATACTATCTGCTGATAACTTTAAAAACTTGTACTGTTGAAAAGTGTCATTGTGCCTGATCAGTATGCAATACAACAATAAAATTTGCCTAGGTGTGGATGTTTTATGTGCATCAGTGGGATATCAATAGATGTTTGATGTGTACTGTTTTCTGAACTGTTCTACACAGGTTCTCCAGAATTAGTTTTTGTCAGCCACGTAATAAACCCATGCCATTTCTATATTCGGAGATATTCACAGAGGAAAACAGCAATTTTTTTGGAAAAAAAGATGAGTCACTTTTGTAGTAGTAAGAGTTCATACCTTAGTCCTTCAGACATTTTGGAACTAGGTAACTCAAATAATTTTCAAATACTTTAGTTAATTTAAAATTCCATATTACAATATCTGTTTACAGTTTTACAATTTTTATTCTCTATTAGTAGAATATGTTCAGCTAGTAAAATATCCTGTAACATTCTGGAGTGAGTGTTCCTCTGGAGAGTCACTATTGAGCTGTGAGAGAAACAGAACACGTTTTTCACCTGTTATATAAAGTTAAGCACTCAGATATATATTAAGTCACCTAAATGATAGTGGCCTGATCTTCAGAAGGTTTGGAGCACCCACACTTCTCTTCACTTGAGCAGGAGTTGCGTGCTTTGCACACCTGAAAATCCTGACACTTTTAGGTCACTGGCTATTGATTTAGCATCTGAATATAGCCATTAACTGGTGTGACTTTATTTTTTAATATATTGACTGAAAATAGATTGGGCCTGATTCATTCATTTTAGTGTATAAACCAACGTGTACTCTCATGGGAGCAACCTTCCTTTCTTATGGTTACCTGAGTCTGGAACTGTTGCAGCAGTCAAAATAACAACCTATTACTAGATATATACCTTGTCCACATGTGATAGATGTTGGTCACATCACTTAATGCACTTCAGGAGAGTTCTTTTATTGAATGGTGATGAGCGCAGTATAAGAACCAGAATTGAATAGATAATAAAATTGACTAGTAACTGGGATTTTATAATCTAGGAATTCAGTATTTTGCTTCCTAAAATTTGCAAAAACAAAGTTAAGTTTGGTGGCTGATGTGAAGGCTGGTTCAATTACTGAGTGAAGGATTATGTGGCAGTGAAGAACATATTGGATCTCTTAACTGCTAATTTCCAGAGATTCTAAAGTTTGGGTTTTTAAAGCTGTAGAATTTTTATAAAGGAAACAGTATAGTTGTTGGGTTTTATCTGGACTTTAACTTTGTAAAAAGAAACTTGTTTGTTTGCAACCTAATTCAGATTCTTTTTCAAGTGATGGTCTCTATGTGTATTCCACACACGGGTACACATACGCTCCATGCTCCTGAGATTGGAGATTTGTAACAAGGTGTGTCCATTGGTCCATGCCTGCACAGGTTTTTTTCTTCGTGGTGCTAACCGAGGGCACCTTATTACTGCCACATGGCCTGAATCAGAATCTTCTGTGTTCATAGATACCTTCATGCTTCTTTAGCAACCTGTTAATAAATTGTAAATAGTTCTTAGTATGGTATTTTTTTAGTCTTTGATATAGTTTGCATAGTCTAGTTCCCCCCGTCTCAGGGAATTTTCCCTGTGGACAAGGACTATACCCAGGGTTTAAGAATTGCATATCCTGGCCCCACTCCTTCTCAGTGAGCGACAAACACCAATGCTGCTTTTACTGCCTCGGCAAGGCTCACAAATCTGCTAAGTGTAGCATCTGTCACTCTTTCCTCCCTGAACACATGAGGGATAAGAGCTTCAACTAAAGAAGCATCTCACAGAGAGGGCCATGAGACCACAGTCAGATTCGAGCTGGGGAGAGCCCCCCGTACACTGGACTCAGTCGATGGCTCCCATCCAAACAGGAACTCAGGAGCCGAGGTTTTGGTTGCTAAGCCCAAAGAACTGCTTCCCAGGGCTTCTCATAAGAGCAAAGGGCACTCTCACAAGCACATGGTGTCGTTGTGGTCTTCAAAATCTGCCTCCAAAAGAAAGGATTCATCCCGGACTCCGCCCAAGTTGGGTGAGTCTTTGCATGCAGGTCCTAAGAATTTAGTCTCGCTTAAATCTCATCAACGTGAGAGCATGGTTCAAAGATGTACGGCTCCACCAGTACTGACTCTGGTGCCGATGCTTAAAACAAAGGATCAGAACCCACCAGCACAGTCTAAGAAGTCCAGGCTTAACACTGCATCAGTACTGGATGGCTCCTGGAAGGGACCATTAGATCCAACAGTCCCAACTAGAGGAACACTGCTGTGCTCTGGGAAGGTCCAAAACCTTCATCTCCCCAAAAGACATCTTCACATATCCCTGTCTTCAATTCTTACTTCTTTCAAGTCCATCCTTATTCAGAGATATCCAGACACTGGAGGATGAATCTCCCGTAAGAGGACGTGACTTTTCCCCTATACCTTCTGTGATCAGGAGCATCCATCTGACAGTACCGATGGCTCTGCATTTGAGCAAGAACCTGCCTTCTCATTGGCTGAGTTGGAAGTTCCAGACAAACCATTGTCTCAATGTGTGTGAGTTAGTCCAGACAGACTCTAGAACACTGGTGGGCAACCCGCGGGCCGCACGCGGATCGTTTGTTTACATTTGCATGGCTGCACGCAGCTCCCAGTGGCCACGGTTCGCCGTTCCCAGCCAATGGGAGCTGTGGGAAGTGGCAGCCAGCACGTCCCTGCGGCCCGCGCCACTTCCTGCAGCTTCCATTGGCCTGGAACGGCGAACTGCAGCCACTGGGAGCTGCGGGCAGCCATGCAAATGTAAACCCATTGTCTGGTGGCCTGCCAGCGGATTACCCTGACGGTCCATGTGCTGCCCACCACTGCTCTAGAAGTATAGAAGACCTGGGTTCTATCTACCCAAATATAACTATCCATATACCCAGTGCCCTGGGGTCCCCCTGACTGGTTGACTCTTTCTGCTGGTGTTACTGGCATTCTTGGGATACCTATACTAAGCACCCCACATTTATACACAAACTGTACCTGCTATCTCCTAGCCAGCAGCTGGTTTTGTCAGAATATGGGGCAGAAGTAGTAGTTGATCTGGATCTGATAGTCCTAACTGCTGTCTCATTCTCCTTACCAGATGAGGCAGTTGCTCCTTCTTCACCTTCCCTGTCTGATGACCACAGGCGTTATCAGGAGCATCTGGAGAGAGTGACGTCTTAGCTCCAGATTCCAGTAGAGGAGGTCCAGGAGACCCATCACTGGACATCTTGCAACCTTCTGGACCCAGTGGGGTGGCCCTTCCAATTAAGGAGGCCATTTTGGAGCCTGCCAGGACAGTGTGGCATATCCCTATTTCCTGTGCCTGTACCCTTAAACAACTGAAAAACTTTATTTTGTACTGGCTAAAGGGTCAGATTTAATTTTTTATCCACCCAGGACCCAACTCCCTGGTAGTGTGGGCAGCCGCAGAACGATTCAGGCTTCAATACCCTAAAACAACTCCATCTGACAAGGGCACCAAATGCCTTGACCTTATGGGGAGGAAGGTATATTTTTCAGCTAGTTTCCAATTTCAATTTGCTAACTACCAGATCTTTAGCAAAATTCAGTTTCACAAACCATTCCAAATTTGTGGAATTCAGGGATAAACTTTCCCAGGAGGACTGGGCTCAATTCCCAGCCCTCGTCAATGAAGGCAAATTGGGGGCTAAGACTCCACTCCAAGCAGTAGTGGACACAGCTGACACTGCATCTGGCACTATTGCCAAGCTTTCATCATGATGAAAGAGTCCTAGCTTCGTGCTGCAGGGTTCCCCAGAATGATACAAAATACCATTGAGGATCTGTCTGTGAACGAGTTCAGTCAGTTCAATGAAAAGATTGACAGGTTGCTACACTTGCTTAAGGACTTCAGGACAACCAGCCCCAAAGAGAAATCACCACAAGTAGGTGTATAGGCCCATATCTCTCCCTCAGCTGTTTTACCACTAGTGCTCTTATGAACTGCAATGCAAGTGCCAGCGGATACAAAGACTAAGGTATGTGACTTCTTCTACCTCATCCGCCGCTGCCACCCCACTCACCATCCAGGGATTTCTTTTGATGGGACTGTCAAACCACCTTACCTCTATTGATGCTGTCTCCTACTGCCCCCAAACTTTTGATGTCCACTTCGCCCACAACTGAAGGGCAATAGCAGACAAGTGGGTACTAGAAATAATCCACTGTGGCTGCAGAATCGAGTTCATCTTCCCCTCGAGGTATAGGCAGTCAATTTTATGGGATTCTTGCTTCAGAAACCACATCATGCTCTCAGCAACATACCTAACAGGTGGGCAGAACTCTCTAGCGGGCAGTCTTAGCAAGTACTTCTCCAGAGACTACAAGTGAAAGATATACAACTCTCTCTGAACGACATCTTGGCTCCGTGGGGAAAGCCATCTTGGGATCTCTTTGCCTCAGAGACAAACAAGAAGTTAAATCTGTACTGCTCCAGAGCATCATTAGGTCAGGGCTCCAGTGGCGATGCCCTTCTGCTTCCCTCGATGGACCATGTGAGGTATGCCTTTCCTCCCATTCCCCTATTACCTCAAGTTTTTCAGAAGATTCATCAGGACAGGGCCCAGGTCACTCTCATTACACCCAATTGACCTAAACAGTTCTAATTTCTGGACCCCCTCTAAATGTCAGTCCGTCCTCCTTCCCAGAGACGTTCTCCTGAGTTAACTGCAAAATCAGACATTCCAACCTAGACCCCCTTCATCTTACAGCCTGGTATTTGGATAGAACTCAGACCTGGAGCACTCATGTTGAGAGGCTGTTCAAAATATTCTCAACCACAGCAGAAATGTCTCCACCAGAAAATGCTACCTAGCTCAGTGGAGGTGTTTCTCTACCTGGATGTTACAGGAGAGATGTTAGTCCACACTGCCCATTGTACTCTGTTATCCGCATGCGCAAAAAAACTGTGCAGGCACAGACTAGTGGATACTGCTTGCTACAAATTTCCTATCTCAGGCACAGGGAACACGTGTATCCATGCATGGAATACAGAGAATGGACGACACATCTTGAAGAACCTCCAGTTATAGGTAAGTAACCTCCATTTTCCATGTTTTGTTATGATCCCTGATAGATATAAAAGGGAAACTAGAAATACAAAATGAGAGAGACTCCTTTCTAAGCAATCACTGCAGAAAAGAATCCGATGGTTATAGTGGATCCCGGATTAAATGAACCAACAATTAAATACTATGGCTGAAAAAAAGGGAATATTCCTCTGAGATATATTAGCAGGAGTGTTGTAAGCAAGACATGAAAAGTAATTCTTCCACTCTGCTCAGCACTGATAAGGCCTGAACTAGCTACATGGTAAAATGTAAACCATGGAGGAATATACTAAAATGTAATGACAATCGCTTCTAAACTAAGATATTTAAGTCATGGATTTAGTTGGTTTAAAATTGTAGTGTTTTTTTAATCTTTATTTAGGTGCAAGGATCTTTATCAACAGTAAAGAAAATGGAATGTGGTGCCGTGGAACTATCACTGAGTTGATTCCTCTGGAAAGTAAAAATAAGGGAAAACACTGTGGTCCAACAAAATACAAAATTTATGATGTTGCAGTGATGCACGTATTCATGGAAGACTTTGGGAATTCTGAAGTTTTAGTTGGTTCAGGGTATGATTCTTATAACTACATCTATGTCTTTGTGGATAAAAATAGTCTCTTGTTCCAAACTGTGGCATTTCAGCTGTTGGTTTCTGATGGGAATATGTACTATGAAAGTCCAATAAAACTACCTTTTCACAAGTTAATAACTAAATACACAAATGACTGCTGTGTGACTTGCATACAGCTGCATGCAGAAAAATATTCTATAAAATACATTTCCTCAGAGGTTAATGTATATCTGCTAAGTTACCGTACAAGACATGAATGTTTAAAATTGCAGACCTAGAAAATTCAGTGTCTGAACAAGATACATTTCTATGTTGCTACCTCTTGCAACTTTATTGCAAATATCGTGATAATTGGTGTCTTTCTAAAAGCACTCACTCCTGTAATCATGACTACATGAGAATCTTGGCTTTCATTAAAAAAAAAAAATGGTTTCTAGTCCTCATGGTTACAGTGAGAAGTTTGAAAATGTGATAAAGTGCATCCTTATGGGTCAAATCAAAAGGTAAATAAAAGGAACCTGAAATGTAGTCTGGGTTTTTTCTTTTTTTTTTTGTTGTTTTTTTTAAAAAAGATTTGTAAACCAGTCTAATGGTTTTGAGGGGTTGATTCTTGGTTTTTAAACATTTGAAGTTTGCAATACTGCATTTCTCACAATTGTAACAATAAATTTGTCACTAACAGGCTAGATAGCGGAATTGTGGTTTTACAGGTCTTAAGAATGAATTGGGAAAACTAAAGTGATGCTGAAGCTTCTTACACTGCTTTTTCTAATGGCATCAAACCTCGGAAAGCATATGGCTCTGTCATGAGCATATTCTATCTACTTGTGCCAATGAAGCCAAATTGAATTTTGCTTGTTTGATTTCTGTCAATGTATTAAGATGACCCCCCCAGTTTTAAAAAAAGACTATTTTCCCTAGTCTCTGAACTGTTCTTGTGGGAGAGTGCTTAGCATGGGTCAGAATGAACATACTTCTTTATACTGATCATCAAATGAAAACTTATTTTAAGAAATAATATTCTAGTCTGGGAGCATAACGTAAAATATTATTCCATGGGCATGTTAGTGATAGAAAGGTAAGGGGAAGCTATCATTTGATTTGTAAAAAATCTACAGAATCAGAATTTCAGTGGTGTCATCCTGCCCAGTTCCTCTAGTGGGGATAATTGTGTTTGTTGGAAATGGGTCAAGTTGGGCATCATTCAAAAGCCCTTTTCCCCATTAACACAGTGATGCCAAACCTAGAACAATTATGTGGGTACATATTCAAGAAGATGTTTTAAAATCAACTTTTTTAAAATTATATTTTAACATAGGTTGCATTGCTTACAAAAAATAAAAAGATATTGATCTTTGGTAATCCTAAGGAAGTTGGCCTTGGCATGTAGGACTGAAAACATTTATTAATCAGTTGTCATCAGTGTTTCAGTTTAGGGCACCATTGCTAGACACGTTGTCACACTGAACCTCGTCCATGCATATCTCTGTACAAAGCAGGCCAAACATTTGCAGGGTGGTGAGCATTTGATCTTTGCACACAACTATTTGATTAACTAGAGGATTGATTTGGGAGCAAATGGTATTTCACACATAACTGGTGTGATCAGTCCATCCTCCAAGACCTATCCATGCCAGTTAGGGGAGTGTTGTTTTGGATGTGTTCAATCATCCTGGAGCAATTCTGTTCCCCAGCAACCGTAGGTGCCAACTCCGTGGGTGCTCCAGCCCCGGAGCACCCACGGAAAAAAATTGGTGGGTGCTGAGCACTCACCGGCAGCTCCCTGTGGCCCCACCCTGCCCCCCTGCTCCAACTCGCCTCCGCTGCGAGCGCGCCACCGCGTCCTGCTTCTCCTCCCTCCCAGCCCTTGCGCCGTAGGGCAGGGAGGGAGGGGGAAGGTCCCGCGCTGGAGGAAGAGGCGGGGCTGGAGTGGGGATTTGGGGAAGGGATCCGAGGGGGCGGAGTTAGGGTGGGGACTTTGGGGATGGGGTTGGAATGGGGGCGGGGCCAGGGGCAGGGAGGGGGTGGAGTCGGGGCGGGGGGCATGGGCACCCACCGGTGCCGGAGAAAGTTGGCGCCGCTGCCAGCAACAGGCATAAAAATGGAGTCTTGCCGAAGGCTTGGGTAGCATCTCCTAGAGAGCACTAGAACATACGTATCTCATGCAAAAAATCCAGAGTTTAGTAGCGCCTCTGTCTGTGCCATTGATGGCATGCAAGATAATTTTAGTTTGTCTTCTCATGCGAACTACGAAGAAACCACTTAATGTGAGGCAGCAACTTCATGATACTATGTGACAAGAGAATTCTTTGAGCAATTGTTTGCATACTGGAGCATGTTTCCTGGAAGGTATATGGTTAACTTGTCCTTCATGCGAGTATGTGACAGTAGTTTTTTCACTGTGACTTTACAGAAGTTTGTAGAGTCAATGATTTTATGTTGGACAGGTGCAGTACCATGGAGTTTCTTCTTTCTGATATTTTAATTGATTCCTCTGTAAACGTGTCAAATGCTAGGTCATCATAAGTCCAGTATTTTCTCTACAGCCTTATAATTAAGTTTTGAGACAAATTTTGGAAGGTGTTAAGAGTTTCTGGTTTGTTGCGTGCTTGTACCTCAGCCACACTATCTACGATTGCTACACTGAAAGGCCTGCACTGGTCATGTTGTCAGTAGGTGCTGGCTTAGGAAGACTATGCAAGATATTTGTTAGTTTGCTTTTCTCCCGGCACATAGGCATTGTTCCAGTGCATTCAAACATTGATCATGGTACGATGGAGAACTCATATTTCCCAAAGTCTCACATATATCAGCATCACGCTGAGATCTGAAGACAATGAGGAGATGAGCGAACAATGGCCTGTCTGTGGTTAGCTGTGTAATAGTCCCTGCCACCTTCATGCTGACTTTCTTCTTTGCATCTGAGCACATTTTAGTCTCTTCTTGAGTGGAGCCCATAGATTGACAGAGCCTTGGATAATTCTTTGGGTTTTGAAAGCTTCATACAAGTCATGACCCAATGTATCCATTCGACTGACACTTTTTTAGCTATCTCATCACTGAAGACTACTTCCATTGTGATATTAATGAGCTCCAGTCTGTCATATGCTGATGGGTTGCCAGTGCGACTAAGCTCATCCTGTAGCTTTAAAATCGCCCCTTGGCATTTAACAGCACCTAATTAGTCTACGGGGTGCTTGGTTACTTCTGGGGAAGTCATCCCATTTGTGCTTAATGTTTAGTTTGAAATTCAATGGCGTTCTGGGGTTGTCAGGAAATACCGGGAAAGATCATTTGGATGCTGTGTGATGCCATCAATCCCCCAATGACTTGGATTGTTCTGTTTTTGTATTTTAGAGCTTCGTCTGTGCCAAGTGCACATAGGGGAACTAGCAACCTTTTAATAACCCCGTTTCCTTTCCAAAATTCCTCCCATATGTCAGCATCAGACTTTTCTATACCTCTTCTTTTCAGTGAGGTACCAGGCAATCATTGCAGAATGGTTGGCTGAATCTACAGGAAAAAGTATTTCACAAAGTCTTATAGTACTGTCAGGTGCAAATTCCAATTAACAGTCCTGATGGATCGAATAAAGAGCAGCAAAGATTCAACCATCTTCATGAATCACCGCATCATCCCAATATGTATCCAGTATCATGTTCTGAGCGTTAACTGATAACACAGTACCACCAGTTGAGGGTCACAATTTAACTTTGGGGGATGCATGTTTGACATGCCTGTGCTAAAGTATAATTTTAAAAAGTTGATTTTTTTAAACACTTTCTAAAATATATATCTACATAATTGTTCTAGGTTTGTCGTGTTCGTGGGAGCAAAGGCTTTTGAATGATACCCAACTTGATTAATTTCCAACAACACTGTATTATCAAAATTTCCCCCAACCAGAGGACTTGGAGTTGGGAGCCGGGGGGAAGGGAGAGCAAGTCCTCTCTGTCATGCCCTAGAGGGTGACATCATTGAAATTATGATTCTATAGATTTTTATGAATCAAATGAAACCTCTTTATTTTTCGATCAACAACTGCCCACGGAATTACACATGCTCCCAGACTATGCTGCATTTTTGTACTATCATTGTTTATTTATGTTCCTACTAGGATTGGTGGTGTCCCTGTGGTGAGGCCAGAACAAGTTGCTCTACAGAACTTAGTGGTAAATGACTTGTGTATGTTTATCAGGAAGCCCGATCCATATATAGAGGCACAGCTCAGGGATATTCCTCCGTTAGCAGTGCAGTGCTCGCTGAAGGACATAGTTCCCAAAAACTCAGTAAGTAAGCACTGTTTGTACAGTTTAAGAAAAAAAATTCATTCAGGTTTTTTATTATGGAAGTTAAAATTAGTCCTATTTTCACGACTTTCCAAATATCCCAAAAAACCCACAAGGAGAATTCAGAGGTATACAGCAATTTTATTAAGTCATATATTAAAAAGATAGGTTTATGGTTATTTTCCAATGTATGTAACGAGAGTTGAATTATTTTTAAGAAATGCCAGTCGCTATGTAATCAGTGTTTTAAAGGGTATATTACAATAAAAGATTTATACTTCACTGGTTTGGGGGTTGTTTTGGAGATGTCCTTTTCTCACATTCCAAAAAAGAGATGTATAGAATTGGTTGTCTGATAACTTGGGCTAGGGGCATGTCTGTCTTTTTTCAAAATTCAACCAAATAGGGAATGGTATAGAACAGTCATCTTTTAGAATAGTTTTGTAAATATCTGATTGAGGTTTTCCTTTTTTACCAAAAACCTGGTGCTGCTCACCTTGAAAATAGTCTTGATGTTCCTTGATGCTTCCTTCTGTCCAACTCTCCCCACTTGCTACTAACACTTGTTCCTTAAAAAAAGGACATAAGTTATAATAATACTTTCTTCATTACTTGCTTTTATTTGTGCTCATTGAGTTAGGAACATTGCACAAGTGAGGCTATGTGGTTAGAGATGTTGAAATAATATGTATGTACATTTTTAGAGATATAACTGTAAACAACCTTAAATGGCAGACATTTCAGCTCATATTACACTGAGAAAATAAGTGGTAACAATTAACTTGCAAGTCTAAATTATTGAAATGACCTCCTCTGCTTGCCTAAATCTTCAAACTAGAAACACACAGGCTTGGAACAGTGAAGGGAAAACCACTGATTTTGCTCATTCCAACAATTAAATAAATAAATATGATATGGCAGAAAGACCTGTCACCATAAACAAACTATGAATTTTTTTAATGGTTTATAGTTGGATCATTTCAAAGCCTGGTGGTCTGATCTTGCTGATATTATTTGTGACTTGCAGTCAGTGTGAGATCCGTTGCTTTAATAATGGCTTAATCAAAAAAGAAACAGTCTCTGGCTCTTTCTGTGTCCTCGGCACCGACCGCACTGCAGCTGAGTACATACGAGACACTGGGATCCTCCGGTACCGTGTGTACTGACAGAGCCAATCACCTTAAGCAGGCAGGCTCAGAGTCGAGAGGCAAACAGAAGTCTGCCTCCTCCGCCATGGTACCAATGGAGCCATCTAAATACCCGGCACTGAAGCACTCTATGCAGATTGTGGCGCCACCTTCTGCTCCCATATCACAAAGCACTCGGATGTCAGCACCAATGCCTGTAATTACAACAGCACCATTGGGTCAGCCACCTCGGCATCAGAATCATTAGTTACCATGCCAATTCCTCCATCACAAAGACTGACTTGTCTCATCAATACAAGCCTCTCCATTTTTTGGTACGATGTTGCTTCGATACACATGGTACCATGCCAACCCACCTCACTTCTGGCCTCTCCATTTTCCAGTCAGGATGAAGATGAGGAGGAAGAAGGCGCTTATTCATGGCACCACTCCTTTCCAATTCAAATGAGCACAGCATTAGGTCCATCTGTTCAGCCCAAATATCACCACACAGCTGACACCCAGGCATGGTATGGGCACCAATGAATGCTACCACATATGCTATTCCCCTTGCAATGGCCCTACTAGGACCCCTGCGGAGCATACAGGAGACACTAACCTAGGCCCCTGAGCACCTGTAGAGAAGAGACTAAACTTCCCCACCGCCCTCAGTGGCTGTACCATCAGAGCCCCTTGAGGAAACTTTTGAAGAACAGGAAGAGGCTCTGGAACAGGAAACTACACTAGCAATAAAGGTTTCCTTCTCTTCCTCAGACGAGGCCATAATTCCTCCACCACCCACAGATGACTTCAGACGTTTCCAGGAGCTCTTCAAAACAATGGCTGAATCACTAGAGAGCCCCTTAGAGGAGATTCCAGAGTCCAAACATTAGCTTCATCAAAGATTGGGCATCCAGTGAACGAAGCACTTATGGAACTGGCTAAAAACATAAGGCAGACTACGGCAATAATACTGCCCACTTGGAAGAGAGCAGATAAAAAATATTACATCCCCTCAAAGGGGATGGATTTTTTTATTTTATCACCCTGAACCGAATTCCTAAGTAGTTGAAGCAGTCAATCAATGAGGCAGACAACACCAATACAGATCCACTCCATATGATAGAGTGGAAATGGTTAGATCTCTTTAGCCACAGGGCCTACTCATGAGCCAGTCTTCAATTCCGGATTGTCAGTTCCGCTGCACTGATGATGAAATATGACCCCACAAATTATTTCAAACTGACCTACTTTATTGACCACATATCAGAGGACAAAGGAGACCAATATAAAGCTATCATCGCAGAGGGCCATCTAATAGCCAAAACTGCTTTACAGGCATCTTTAGATGTGGCAGATATGGCGGCATGTTCCATGGCTACTGCCATAGTTCTGTGCTGGGCTTCATGGCTTCAGCTGTCCAGTTTCCCAAGGGTGGTACAATCCACCATAGAGGATCTCCCCTTTGACGGTCAGAAGTTGTTTGCCGCAAAGACTGACGAGTCCCTTCACACACCTTGAAGGACTCTTGGGTGACCTTTTGTTCCCTTGGCTATACATGCCTGCACCAAGAAAAAAATGGGAAATACTGTTCCACCCAGCCTACGAGATTTGTCTCATTTGCCCAACAACGGGGCAATATGATATACAAAGGCACAGACAGAGACATCCAAGGTGTCAACCACCTCTGACTCAATCATTGGCATCCCAACAACCCTCTGCAAAACAAAAATTTTGAGGGTTTGGTCGAGGGCCCAAGAGACCTCCCCATTCCTCAATGCTGACACCATCACTGACCATCCCGTTTTGGACACTGTTTGATGCCACCTACCCGGCATGGCAATTCATCACCACGGACAAATGGGTTCCAGATATTATCAACACGGTTTATTTGATACCGTTCACCTCCATCCTCATCCCTTTTCAGGGACCCTTCTCAAGAACAACGTCTATGGCAAGAAGTAAACCACCTACTATATTTGGGTGCCGTGGAACCAGTATCATCACAATACAGAGGGAAAGGGTGTTCTTCTGTGTTAAGAAGTAATGCGAATAAAAACGGAGGTTGGAGACCTATTCTAGACCTCAGGAAACTCGACAGATTCATAAGGGTCCAATGGTTCAGGATGGCCACATTAGCAACAATAATATAATCACTGGAACGGGGGCAGGTTCTTGGCCCTCGACCTCTAAGATGCCCATTTTCACATAACCATACATCCTGCTCACAGGAAGTTCCTCAGCTTTACTCTGGGAACAAAACATTATCCAGTTTTGTTTCTTTCAGTCTTTTGACAGCACCACGAGTGTTTTCCAAAATTCTTGTGGTAGTGGCGGCACACCTCCGCAAGCAGGGGGTGATAATATTTCCCTATCTGGGTGATTGTCTACTACTCTCACCCGGGAAGATGCCCTACTCATGGGATAATCTCCCTATTTTCATGGCTGCAGTACAAATAAACATACAAAAATCCACACTGACCCATGCAGAAACTGGACTTCATCGGGGCCCATCTCGACGCTCTGGAGGCCAAAGCATCACTACTACCGACCAGATTCATCACTTTGGTCAGTCTGATCTCAACAGTACTGAACAGCCCACACATATCGGCACGGACCTGCTTCCAACTATTAGGCCATATGGTGGTAACCACATTTGTGGTTCAACACGCAAGGCTTCACATGCACTGCATTCAGCGTTGGCTAAGAACCGTTTACATTTCACACAGACACAGCCTGACCAAGTGTCTTACCATGTCACTCAAAGTCAAAGACTGCACTGTGGACTCAACCCCACAACATGTATGTGGGAGTCCCTTTCACACAGACTCCACCTTCGATGATACTCACCACAGAAGCCTCCTTGATAGACTGGGGGGGTTCACTTACAGCAACATACAATTCAGGGCAGATAGTCCCCTTCAGGACATTGTTGTATATAAACCTAGAACTATGTACAGTTTGCAACGCATGTTTGCACTTCCTGCCCTTGATCAGGATCAAGTCCAGAAGGGTAATAATGGATAACATTGCCTGTGTGTTTTATATAAACTGACACTCTTTATGAATCGAAGCCATGAAACTACGGTGTATCCAGCACAATGTCAACATATCAGTCTCATATCTCCCAGGATGTCAAAACACTACAATAGATACATCTGTCAGGACCATGAGTGGGAGTTGAGCATCACAGTCCTACAGAACATATTCAAACACTAGGGTCACCCATCCATAGACCTCTTTGTGACCTCCCAGAATTACAAATGCCTGCAATTCTCTCAGAGATCGGAACCCAATCCCTGCTCTTGAGCAGATGTCTCCTCAGATGGGACGCTCCTGTGCTATACACATTTCCCCCTATCCCCATGCTGTCAAGTTTAATACACAAAATAAGAACCGACAAGGCCAAAGTCATCTTGATAGCTCTCACGTGGCCCAGACAAACTTGGTAGTCTTAGCTGTTGAGGAGGCAGTATGTACACTATGCGTTCTTTTACTTCTGCAGAACCTTCTATCACAGGATGCTGGACAGATTTACCACCTGAACCTGAAGCAGCTTCATCTGAACCATTCATGGTTCCATCATGATGAACTGACCTGCTCGGAAGAAGTGAAGGACATCTACACATAACACACCTCTACCCCGATATAACGCAACCCGATCTAACACGAATTCGGATATAACGTGGTAAAGCAGTGCTCCGGGCGGGGCGGGGCTGCGCATTCCGGTGGATCAAAGCAAGTTCGATATAACGTGGTTTCACCTATAACGCGGTAAGATTTTTTGGCTCCCAAGGACAGTGTTATATCGAGGTAGAGGTGTACCTGCATAAATGGAAGAGATTCAACATATGCTGTCTAAACAAACAAGCCAGGGTCCTTACCACCCCCTTACCAATGATATTAAAATACATACAGTATAGGAACTAAAGAAATCTGGCCTATTGCTTAGCTCAGTCAGAGTACACTTTGTGGCAATTACCGTTTTTCACCACAAGGTGGATGGGATATCCATATTTGCGTGTCCTATCACCAAATGCTTTCTTAAGGGTTTCAGAAACGTCTACCCTGAAATACATGTACCCTACCCCACCTTGGGACTTGAACTTGGTACTATGCTACCTTACTGGGGCCTCATTCGAACTATTAGCAACATGCCCTCTCACACATCTGTCAAAAGTAGCTATCTTAGTTGCTGTTATGTCTGCCCACCAAGTAGGAGAGCTAGCGGTCCTCATGGCACACCCACCATATACCATCTTTTTCAAGGACAAGGTCACCCTAAGACCTCATCCAAAATTTTTACCCAAAATACCAGCTTCTTTCCACTTGAATCAACCAATATATCTCTCCTCGTTTTTTCCTTCTGCTTAAACCTCACAGGAGCACACAAGACTTGGCACTACACACGCTAGATGTCAGACACGCACTAGCGTTCTATCTTGACAGAACTAAGCCTTTCAGAAAGTCATCAAGGCTTTTTATTTCGACTTCTGAACAATCTAAAGGTTCAGCAATTTCCAAATACAGGTTATCTAAATGGATTTCTGGGTGCATCCACTTTTACTACAGCAGAAGGGTATACAACCCCAGCGGGGATCCAAACCCACTCCCCAAGATCCTTATCAACTTCAGTAGCCTTTCTAAACAACATACCGATCACAGACATATGTAATGTAGCCACGTAGGTGTCCACACGTGTTTACAGAACAATACGTGATTTACCAGACCGCAAGATCGGACGCTTTGTTAGGACTTACTGTGTTATCATCACTTACTCATGCAACTCCAAAGCTCCTTCCACATCCACTGAGGGGCACTGGTCGACAGTCATCTGAAGTGGAGCACCCACAGGCGCGTTCCTTGAAGGAGAAGAGAAGGTTACTCACTCCATGCAGTAACTGAAGTTCTTCTAGATGGGTGTCCCTGTGAGTGCTCCACTACTCACCCTCCTCCCCTATACTTCAGAGTTCAGTCTACTGACTCTGCAGTAGAGAAGAAACCGAGGGGGGTCTGGTTATGCGGCTCTAGATAGGTGCCAACAATGGCATGAGATGGGGAGAGCTGTGCGAACCAGACAAGCACTGCTGAAATTGCCCCTGCGCCTTTGATTGGAGACACATTCATTTGAAGTGTAGCGCCCACAGGGACACCCATCTCGAAGAACCTCAGTTACTGCACAGGGTGAGTAACTTTCTCTTTTTCTTACAGGACGTCGCTGCTTTCTATCAGTTTCTTCTAAGATGGATACATTTGTATGGTATACTTTAGAGACTCACTGTGTTGAGCTGGGAGCAAAATCTTTGAGCAAGTGAAATAAATGGATTATGGGCAAACACTTATCACGCTGCTGGTGCTATTTATATGCACACTAAAAATTTGACTTACTATCTAATGTTTTTGCTTATTGGGATAGCCTCACAATATACACTATTTTTGTGAGGCTTCCATGAGTACAACACATGTAAGACTCACAAATATTATTCTTGTTCCTACAACTATATATACTCTTCCATTTATTAATAAAAATTGCTTATTTATAGTGTTTTAAATTCTATTGAATGGTTCTACTCTGTTAAAAAAAAGTAAGTGTTTGTAATAACAGTACTAAGAGACTTTGGAAACAGATTGGAGGGATAGCTCAGTAGTTTGAGCATTGGCCTACTAAACCCAGGGTTGTGAGTTCAATCCTTGAGGGGGCCACTTAGGGATCTGGGGCAAAATCTGTCTGGGGATTGGTCCTGCTTTGAGCAGGGGCTTGGACTAGATGACCTCCTGAGGTCCCTTCCAACCCTGATATTCTATTATTTGGAGGCTTGAGGTCAAATTAAAAAGCATAGTTTGACCAAACTATGACAACTGGGTACCAAACAGTTTGCAAGTAAATTCCAAAGAAGGAGAAGAATAAGTTTATGGTGGTTCAAGAGGGGAAAATGATATTTAATTAACTGAAATTAAGAAAGTGAGAATTTTAATTTGAATATCGGGAATATCAAATGGTGAAATCTTAGGATGGGGAGTAATCTACAAAAGGAAGTGATGAAAAGACCGTTGCTGAAGCCATTTAAAACTAGTCCTGAAAAGAAACACTAGAAAATATACCATAGAGAGCAATTCTGCACTGCCAAGGTTATGGATTCGAAGGTCTAGTGGGTCTTTTCAATGTTTAAGTACTGTGTGTGACATCCTGGCTCCATTGATGTCACTGGGAGTTTTGCCACTAACTTCAGTGGAGTTGGGATTTCATTCTGAGTGTGATGGTTTTTGTTTTTATGATCCTTAAGAACACTTTTTCCCCCCACCCAAACAGAATGAAGGTTGGAGGGAAGAAGTTAAGACAAAATTTTTGAGAATGGTAAATAACAAAGCTGTTATAATGGAAGTATTCAGAGAAGAGGATGGTGTGCTCATTGTAGATCTGAAGAAACCTCCAGTTAATAAAATGAGTGACATGCCAGTATCTCTTAAGGATGCTTTAGTTTTTACAGAGTTAGCAAGGTATGTGTCATCTTAAAAGGACTTTAAGTATTTATATTTTTTAAAAACACACAAAATTAAAGGAATCTAGTTTACATTCTATAAATTGTACCCTTGCTACTGGTGCTAGCATGGTTTGTTTCTGCAGTTGTAAATAGCTTCCAAATTTTTTTCACCTAGGAATGATTGCATTCACATATGTGGTGTCATACCCATTTTGATGGCACAAAACCTCATTTGGATAACTGGGTTCTAATTGCAACACAAAGAGGCACAGCAGAGTTGTCAGACTTGTACCTTAAGAAAAATTATTTCTAAGCTTTCAAATTATATTTTTGTTTATAACACAAATTGACAGAACAAACAGCTAAAATACATCACTGTGAGTTTGACTACCTTGAAGTTTTTCTGATTTTGTTTTTCTTTGTGAATGTTTAGTGGTCATTAAAATAAGGATTTTTTTTTTTTTTTTTAAGAAAAAGGGATATGAGAGGGGAAGATAAATGGAAGATGCCTTATCCACTATTCTCGCAAATACTTTGCTGCAGTAATAATTACCTCTTAATGAACAAGGGAAAGGAAACATTTAAAGGAACAATTTTTTATTCTAAGTAGTAAAGGCAAGCCTTTAGCTTCTAACCTAATTAAATAATGTAAACACACACTGTTGCCTAAAAACAATGAGTAAAAGAGAGTTTGGAAAGCTTTAAAGGAGCAGCAATCATATATACTCCACGGTATGTCTCACTTTTGGGGTAACTCACTGTTATTTGAAAAGAGGAAATTGTCTGAACAGCACTACAAACAGCAAAGTTCAAGAGCAGTTCATACGAGGCAGTACTGTAACAGCTAACAATCCATGAAATTACTAGCCAATCCAGATAATTACTAAGTTTTTTAATAAAAGGTCCATTAGGCCTTTCATAGAAAATTTCACACGAAAATGCCGTTCATCCACAACTGGCTTTGACAGAATTGATTCACAACCATTATTCTCATTAGGTTTCGATCACAGCTTCCTAGTCAACCGGAAAATATGGCATTGCAATATTGTCCACCCACATTGCCACAAGAAATGACAGAAGTCTCCATTGTCGTTTGTCACATCAATAGTCCTAGTGATTTTTACCTTCAGTTGGTAAGTATTTAGAAATATTGTATATTTAATTAAAATATTGATTAAAATTTCTGGGCTTTAAATAACCAAAAAATAAAACATTAAGCCGCCGAACAAGATATTAGACTTCTAATAATCAGTTGCTACCCTCTCCCCCTGAAAAAATAAAGTTCTAGTCCGTTTTCTTATCCCCACCTATAATATAGAAACTTTCTAGGTATATGTACAGTGTCTAGCACAATGGGATTCTGAGCCTAAATAATATTATAATAAAGGGGGAAATGAGGAGATATTCATTGTGGCACCATACCAAGTTCATAAACAGCTCATCTTGCTAGCCAGGGTGTCTCTTTGATGGATCAGGGAGCAATGGAGTCACCCCTTCTCTCCTTCCCTCCCACCCAAGTGGGAGATAGGGGGATCTCAAGCAGGAGCTGCTGGGGCAATGCTGTACGTGCTTCTCTTGGCTCGCTCTCTTCTCCTCCCCCTCCTCCATGGCCTGTATATGTGTGCATGGGAGAGTGGGGAGGTGTTGTCGCTTTCTCATTCCCTCTCTTCCTCACAGCATGGGGAAGGAGGTTGGATATTTCACATTATCTGGGTACTAGAGCCTATTCCACACACTCCTGCTGCCACTGGACAGCAGGGTTCATGAAGAGCTGACTGGTTGGCTCTTGCCTACTTGAGGGGGGTGCTTCTGTTTGCTGCTGGCGAGTAGCCATTTTGGTCTCTGTTCCAGTCCCACATTTCCCAACCCTTGTCCAAAGAGCTAGATCTCTTACAATCGAAGAAACTAAGCTGATCACCAAATTTTGTTTGAGGTCTGGAAGGGATTTTTCCTTTATGGCAAAATTGGCTAACTGCTGTTTGGGGTTTTTCACCTTTCATCTGGCATCTTGGAGGTCTGGTCTTAGGGTTTAAATTACATTTGTCGCAACTTTGGTGAGTTCCATGCAGTTGGTGGGTTTAAAAAGGGTCCAATGTGAGGTCCGTAACCCAGTGGGCTCAAGAGCACAACTTTGCATAGTAAGGGGGTATAATGGCGCGGTGCGTGGCTCCCTTCATCTTTCCTACCCCCTGCATGGAGGAGAACAATTTGGAACTCTGGCTTCCAGCCAGAATCCTTGGGTGGTCCTGAGGATGTAGAGGGGGCATTAACCTCATACTCGTAGGTTTGTAGAGCCCAGGGCCATTGGTTCCTAGATTAAATCCTCACTGTAACGTTCCTGCTGAGTAGCTCAGGTAGATCTCTATTGGTTAATTGTTTTAATAAAGTTTTGGTCTCTATTTAACCATTCTATGGTATGTCTGTCTGTTTCTGTCTACATCAATTACGTTCATCACACAAAGTGTGGTATTAGAGAATAGCCTACAAAATCTCCTTTGATAGTAGATTTAAACAGTGTAGTATTCAAAAACTTGAACATTGGTTAGTACACTTACACTTTTTGTGACAGTCATTGCTTTTTGTGGCCTTTGAGTTCAAACTCTTTTTTGGAATTGCATGCCACAAGTCCCAAAACATTCTGAATGTCTGTGGCTTATTCTGATTTGTAAGTTACTGTAGTATTAGGTTTTTGTTTCATTATTTTAGATAGAAAGTCTGGACTTTTTAGATCTCCTGAAGAAAATTGAGGAAGTATATAAAAATGATGATGGAGAAAATCTGGGAATTCTTTGTCCTGTTCAAGGCCAAACCTGTGTAGCGAAGTTTGAAGATGGAGTTTGGTACAGAGCAAAAGTTACTGGTAAGTGTGTTAGTTACTGATTATCTAATTGTGGTGTTCAGTCAGATAATTGGAAGTGGCATTTGGTCGGAACTTGAATAATAAGTAATAGTCATTTTTATTGCTGCAAAAGTTAGTAATAAAGACCAATACTAATAGTCAACTTTATAACCTTATAAACTACATTTGATATTATTTTCTTTTGTTTTGCTAATTTGCTATTAATAATTTGTTTTACATATTATAAGGTATTATAGATGGAACAAAAACATGTATATGCATTTACAGTAGAATTTCAATAACAAACATAATCATAATTGTCATTGTATACAGAGCCCAATCTTCTTCAGTGCCCAGTCTCTGGGTGTAGCAGATATAGAAGAGCCACAAAAAAACTGTGGTTGCAGTGCTCTGATACTGGGAGCAGGTGGTGGCCAGTTTGTCCCACTGTCATTGTTTGAGGCTGATCTGAATTACATCTCAGCTACTATTTATTTATTTGTATTACCATAGCACCTAGGAGATCTAGTCATGAACCAGGACCCCATTGTGCTCGGCACTGATATGATCCCCAAAGGGCCATCTGCTAGCTAGGAATTATCTAAGCAGTGTTTTTCATCCACATGCCTGGCCTACCCCGTACATAAGAAATATGAGAGGCTGGTATTAGGACCAACTATTAACACTTTACCCAGTGATTTTCCTTGATTTGAGGGAATTTTGGCTGGCTGTTAAAGGCTGTAGCAGCTTTGCCGATTTGGGATCTAAACTGTTTCAGAATGTGGTACTTTATGCATACACAGTGTATGCGTACATCTGTCTTTGAAATTCTGGCCATTGATGTTTAGTATATACTTGATGATAGTTACAAGTGTTAACGACTTCTGATTTGTTTACCTGATATTGTAATGTTTTCTGAAGGACTGCCAGGGCATCAAGAAGTTGAAGTTAAATACGTTGACTTTGGCAACACTGCCAAAATAACTCTTAAAGACATGCGTAAAATTAAAGATGAGTTTTTGAGCCTTCCAGAAAAGGTAAGTTTTTATTATTATTATTATTATTTGCATGAATTGAAAAGCTTAAAATTTAGTAGAATCTCAACGATTTCCTTTGTTATGATATTAATGTAAGTAAAGACCAAATTATTGAAGTCAGAAAACTTTGGGGTTTTTTTTTTTTATTTAAATGCACTATAATGTAGCATTTAAAAATACTTTGGATACAAGTGAGATGAAAAGTTTGCACTTACATTTGTTTTTTATGTCACTAGCCTTAAAATTAATTCAGATGTTATTTTAATATCAAAGTCAATTTTCAAAGACCCTCACTTGTTCTACAGCAACACTCAGCTCAATTTTGTTTGCTTTCACTAGTTTCAGAAAATTATCCCGTATCTGCTAAAGCACTCTTTAAATATATGTCCTGAATTTTGGTGGAGGAAAATGTTTTTAAGGGTTTTTATGCTCTCTGATGTTTATAAGGGTCTTTTCAGCAAGGGAGAAATCGACAATGCAGGGGAACAGCAAAACTGACAATACACAAAGTGTTATCAAATACATAATGTGAAAAAAACTGGAAGAAGACAGGGAAATGTTCTAACTTTTAATTATAGTAATTTTGGGTGTTAGTTGTGAGTGAAATCACAGAAATGTGATTTTTTTTTTTTCATGTTTGTGTCTCTTAAGCCATTATAGGGTGCACAGGTAACAACTCCTATTGTTAAGCTTGCCCAACACTTTGTGTTACAACCAACTGAAAACAGGGTCCTATACCTTTGCCAAACTTTTAGGCAAAACTTTTTGGGAGATGTTTCAGCTAAAATGATTTGTTTCTGAGAATGAGGTTGGGGGGAAATGTTTTGCTAGTGACAAAATATTCGTATGTCCCTTTTGTTGAGACGCTCTAGTGCCTCCAAGCTTTGGAACGGGGGTGAGGGGGGCAAAGTGTTAGCATGCCTTTTACATCTGTGATAGTTCGCCCAAATCTGGCTTAGTTGTAAGACTCTCTGAAAAATTTCAGGGCACTTATTCTCAATAGAGACTTGATAGAGTTTGGCAGCTAAGTTCTCTGATGCAAAAGGCTGCAGAGTAAAAGGGGAAAAAAGGTTCTATAATCACTAGAGCAGATTCTCCCACCAAATCTGGAATTGAACTCATTCTTCTTCTTCGAGTCATTGCTCCTGTGTATTCCACAGTAGGTGTGCATGCTCGCCATGTGCACTGGTGCCGGAAGATTTTCTCTTAGCAGTACCTGTACTGGGGAAGCACCGCGTCAACCCCTGGAGTGGGGCCTGTATATCGTGCTATAAGGGGAGCCACAGGCTCCCCCCACCCTCAGTTCCTTCTTGCCGCCAGTGAAGGTAGTCGGAACTTTGTGCTCCAGCTCTGCTGCCGCCCTTCTTCTCAACCTTAATGGTACCGTTTGTGGATTGTCCTTCAGTTAGAGTGGCTTCAAATCGTGCAACTCCTGTCGCCGTTCTATGCCCAGGAGCGATCCTCATGCTGAGTGTCTTCGCTGCCTGGGTGAGAGTCACATTAGCGACCATTGCAAGATATGCAGGTCGTTCAAGCCAAGGACCAAGAAGGAGAGAGACTTTAGACTTCGAGCTCTCCTGATGGAGTCGGTGCTGACCCCAACGCCGGTACGCAGATCGGACTCGGTGCTGGCCGCCGCGTCATCAGTACGTAGCGAGGCCCCTTCGACCAATCGGCGCCACTCTCCCTCCAAAAAGCAAGGGAAGGGCCCGGCCTCGCAACGACGCCACAATAAGGATAAGGGGGAAGCTGGTCCCGTGCTGGGCAGCCCTCGATCCCCCCCAGGCTCAAGAGCTCCGACTCACATGGAGCGGAGCAGCCCGGTACTGTTGGCCCAGCCATCCCCACCGGTACGGATGCCGTCCATGCTGGAGGCGGTGCAGGCTGCGAAGGACATTGCGAGCTCGGGATAGGCAGAGACAAACAGGTACGGGCCGTAGGCCGCGAGGCAAGCCTCCTTTAGGTGCCCACCAGACCTCTCCGGGCAGCTGCAGTTCCCTCTCCGAGGATCGCTCCCTGCACCGCTCGGCGCACAGCGGCTGCTCTTCTGACAGCTCCCAGTCACCCTCTACGCCGGCCAGACCGTCCAGGCCGCCGTCGAGATGGGAGTCGCGAGAACTCTCTGTGCCGCCTGCCAGCGGGCGTAGGCACCGAGAGAGGCACCGGGAACACTCACCTGCGAGGCATGGGTACTGGAGCCGCTCTCGATGGGACAGATGTCGGCGTTCCCATTCCAGCTCCCACTCATCTGGACATCACGCCAGAGGCTCCCCTCGGGGCACCTCGGTGTCAGGGCACCGGGCTTCACGTCGCCGTCACGGGTACCGAAGCAGTTCGTCATGTGGGTACCGCTCATCGACGTTGAGATCCCGGTCCCGAGGGAGACGACGTCACAGACGCCACTCCTACCGCTCCCGAGGCACTGAGCGTTCTTCGGCGACCTCGGCCTCGGCACCCGTCTACCCATCCTTGGTACGCGCCGTTCCACCGGGACACACATTGCCATCGCGCGCTCAGCCGAGCCAATGGCAGGGAACCCCGTGGCAAGGGCAGTGGTGCCAGTGGGCACCGTGGCCATCGGTGCCAGCCCAAACGGAGGTCCATTCGGTCGCCGGCGCATCCCAGGTTCCATCTGCCTCCTCCGGCCGCCCACGGGACAAGTCGGCGGGGCATGAGTCGGCAGACCCGTGCCAGGACTCTGACCTCGGCCTTGACGTCCTGGCACCGACCGAGGCACCCGGCTCCGTGCGGGCCCTCTCTCCAGCACCGGACAACACCATAGCGGCGCCTCCGCCATCGGTCCCGCAGGAGGACTTTAAGGCTCACCAGGACCTGCTAAAGCGGGTGGCATCCAACCTCCAGCTGCAGGCCGAGGAGATGGAGGGTCCGTCTGATTCCCTGTTTAACATCCTGTCCCCCTCGGCACCGGGCCGCATGGCCCCACCTCTGCACCAAGGTATTGCCAACATTTCGAACTCGCTGTGACAAACTCCCGCCTCCTTGGCCCCAATCTCAAAAAAGGCCGAGAGGAAATACTGTGTGCCGGCGAAGGACCATGAATATCTCTATTCTCACCCGGCACCCAACTCGCTCGCAGTGGAATCGATAAACCACAGAAAGCATCAGGGCCAGCCCACGCCCACCCCCAAAAACAAAGACTCCAGGAGACTGGACTCCTTTGGCAGAAGATTTTATTCGTCGGCTAGTTTCCAGCTTTGGGTAGCCAACCACCAGGCCTTACTGAGCAGGTACAACTTCAACCTGTGGGAGTCTCTGCCTAAATTTGAGCTCCTCCTCCTGGACCGGGACAGGAAGGACTTCAAGGCTCTGGTGGAAGAGGGGTCGGCGGTGGCTAAAGCGGCCTTGCAAGTGGCGTCTGATGCTGCTGACACGGCGGCCTGCTCGATGGCTTCCACTGTCACCATGCGCAGGGCGTCATGGCTCCTGTTGTCTGGGCTGTTGACGGAGGCCCAATCTCTGATGCAGGACCTCACGTTCAATGGCAAGGCACTCTTTGCGTACCAGACGGATGTCAGGCTGCATGGGATGAAAGATTCCCGCACCACCTTGCAGACCTTGGGCCTCTACGTCCCTCCAGCTAAGGACAAGGCCAAATCGCTTCCGGCAGCTCAACCTGCGAGGAGCAGATATGAGCCTCTGTACAAAAGACCCAGAGACCAGAAGCGTTTGTGTTCTGCAACCGATTGTCTGCCTTCCTTGGGGCTTGGTCCCGCATAACTTTGGACCAGTGGGTCCTCAGTACCATTTCCAAGGGCTACGTGTTGCAGTTCAACTCACCCTCGCCAAATCACCCGCCCTCCATGATGGCCCCGGGGGATCCGGACCACGTCCGCCTCCTGCGACAGGAGGTGGATCGGCTGCTTCACCTGGGGGCGGTGGAAAGGGTACCGGTTCAGTTCCAGGGCAAAGGTTTCTACTCCTGATACTTCCTGATCCCGAAGGTGAAAGAGTGTCTCAGGCCTATTCTGGATCTGCGTGACCGTAACAGGTTCCTAACCCGTTCCAAGTTCCGCATGGTGTCCCTGGCCTCTATTATCCCCTCCCTGGACCCGGGGGACTGGTACGCGGCCCTGGATCTTCAGGATGGGTACTTTCACGTCCATATTTTTGAGGAGCACAGACGCTTCCTCCGATTCATGGTAGGGATGGACCACTACCAATTTGCGGTCCTCTCCTTTGGCCTATCTACGGCTCCCAGAGTCTTCACGAAATCTAAGTCCGTGGTGGCGGCCTACCTCAGGTGGGAGGGGGTACAAATCTTCCCTTACCTGGATAATTGGCTCCTCAAGGGGGAGTCTCGTTTTGAAGTGGAGTCCCACATGGAGCTGCTCCTCTCGACGTGCGCCGATCTAGGCCTGGTCGTGAACGAGACCAAATCCACATTAGTGCCCGTTCAGCACATAGAGTTCATTGGGGCCCTGCTGGACTCCTCCAGGGCCACAGCCTCTCTTCCCCTGGACAGGTTTGAGACCCTAAGGGGTCTCATCGCCTCGGTCACAACCTTCCCAGTGACTAAGGCGAGGGCGTGTCTTTGGATTCTGGGACACATGGTGGCGTGCACTTATGTGGTCTGCCATGCCAGACTCTGTATGAGGACCCTCCAGATATGGCTGGCCTTCCAGTTCTCCCAAGCGCGGGGACGGTCTGGACAAGGTTCTCACAGTTCCGTCCCCTATACTGGGTTCCTTCCTATGGTGGTCCTCCCCAAGCAATATGCTGCAAGGGGCTCCCTTCAGGGATGCCAACCCGTCCATAGATCTGATGTCCGATGCTTCGGACCTCGGCTGGGGAGCCCACACGGGGGACGTGCAAACCCAGGGAACGTGGTCGACCCCGGACTTGCCCCTTCACATAAATGTCAAGGAGCTCAGGGCGGTACGATTGGCGTGCGTGGCTTTCCTCACACACCTTTGTGGCAAGGTGGTCAGAGTCCTCATGGACCACACTGCCGCCATGTTCTATATCAACAGGCAAGGTGG